TTGCTTTCGGCCCGGCTAAGAGGCCCTGCCCTGCTTCGAGTTTTGTAATGTTTGACCTACGAGTAAAAGGCATCTTTTTTTGGCCAACAAACAAATTAGTTAAAGTGACTTTTGAAATGGCCAAAAGATATAGTTATAAGGCAGATAAAAATATGTATATCTTTTGCTTAAAAACTAGCCAATAAATGTTTCTTTTAGGCCATTACTTGATGATGAAAAAATTGTGAAAAAAAACCCTTGAAATGATAAAATAAAATACACTTTTTTGGGGGTTCTTTGCTTACTCAATGCTTGTTTTCTAAAAAAGTAATTTCTTTTATTTATATTCCACGTATTTCACCATAAAAATGGATGATTCCATTCGGTTTCCCCGACATTTCCATGACTCACTTCTCGCTTGAGTTCTGAGAGTTTAACAAAGAGTTTGCTTTGTTGTACGTATAAAAGATACATGTATGTATGTACAGTAATATATGTTGTTAATAGAGACCGGTTGTTAGGGAGGGGGAGGGGCGGACCTTGACACCTGCCCGTAAGCAGCGGAATCAACAAGCGAATAAAACACATAGAAACGAAGGCAATCTCCAGCTTCGTTTGAATCTCTCTTTCTTGCAGGCTTTCCATAGCCGAAAGGGGGTAAAACAATTACCAAAACAGGATACTAAAACCGTCAAGAGAGCCGAACCACCCTCCTCCCGCCACCCCCCCAAGGAGTGTGTAATTATTTTTCCTACGCTTTATTTGTGGGGTGAAAATGTTCACTTTATTTTCCGCCTGATTGGGCATTTGTTTCAATGTTATTTTGTCGTCTTTATACGTCTTCCATTACGGTTAATCTTCTAGTATAATGGCTTAAATTTAGTCGTTGATTGTGGGTCAAGAGCGGAATGAATTTCATGATTATTATTATTAATTTGTGAAATCTGAAGCTCAAGGTTACATTTTTAAACTTCAATATTACAGTTTTTATCGGAACTTTATTTCCAAGATTTTTTGAAACCTACCAGCAACACATTTCTAGCTAGAATTTCACATTTTACAATCTCCCACAATATAAAAAAATTACCCTATTTTAGAAAACGTAATATTTGATATTCTCTTGCACTTACCATTTACGATGATGATGAAAATGATCGACACGAATGCAATGTTGAAAGCACATTTTGAGGACATTATATGTGGCGACTGGGATCCAATGTGGTTGCAGGGGGAATCAACAGATTCTCTGTTTGTTGTTGGCGGTTAGATTGGGATTTTCACGTAACTTTTGTGGCAGTATGGCTCTATTTTTTGGGGGCAGGCACCTTTGTGGGGGCTCTGGGGCTGGCTGGCTGGCTTAGTGGGGGAATTTCAGCAGCCCTGCCATTAACCAGTTTTAGCACTCACACATATACACGCATGGATCGGGCACCAAGTATTTTATTCTTTTTTTTTTATTTAAAAACAAATAAAAACCGAAAACAAAAATTAAACACTTTTTAGCTTATTTTCTTAATTTTTTTGAATTAAAATGTCTTTATATTTGTTGCTGTTAAGAAAAGGAAAACACAGAGGGGGGGGATAGTTATCGCTTTAGTGGAAAAACATGAAACAAATAAACAAACACAAAATCAAAACCACACAAAGAAACAGCTTGTATTGGACTCTCACTCGCACTTATGCTAAAGGGCCAATTATGACGCACTGCGCAGCTGCAGATCGCAGGGAGAGATAGAGAGATCCAAAACCACCGAGAGAGCACACAGCGGAAACGTAACAACAGAGAGGGAGAGCAAAAACAAAGCGAGCATAAAAAGAGGGAGAGTAAACACAGCGAGAGCGTGATATCAAGAGAGTAAAAGAGAGTACAGGCAGCTGGAGCGCAAACGCAAAAAGTGCATTAAGTGTAATTATTGTTGCTGGTATTTTTTTTAGGAAAAAAAAACAAAACAAACTGAGTTCAAAACCAAACACAAAGCCAAACAAAGTAAATGTACAACATTCGCTTTTATTCGCTTATTCTTTCGATTTATGGCACAAGTTTTTGTCATAAAATTACTAAAACATTTTCTGCTAATTAAACTTTGTTGTTCTCTCTTCCCCTCTCCACCACACACACACACACACAAACACTCTGCTTTGTTGTGGCTGTGTTCTTCCTCTTCTCTTTCACGCTACCAGTTCTTCTTCTTCTCCGACTCTTTCTCCTCTTCTTCTTCTTTACGCTGCCGCCTGTGCCTCCGCTGTTGTTGCTACTGCTGCTGCTGCTGCAGAGCGGGCATTAAATGCGTTGAAATGCAGCCATTTTGTCTTTGGCAATTGGCACTCACAAGGGGACTCATACGCCGCACTCCCGATTCCCTATGCCGTTTCCTGTTCTGCAGCGCACTTGTTAGTGGTAATCACTCGATTATATATACATCATATGTGTATCATATCTGGCTAATTATTCAGCTCCAATATTTATTTATTTCATTAACATACGGGCACCCACTCGCACTCACACACGCGCGCGTGTTCCGACTCCCGCGGCTTTTCTTATTCCGAAAGAAAACGCGCGACGGCTCCCGTCCGAACGAACACGTCGATGGGTTGTTGGGTGTTTTGTTTTCAACTTATTTTTCTTCTTTGCACTCTGATTTCTTTTATTTTGTTGTAAGCTTCACATTCTGACGACGACGCTTAAACGGCACCAGCGATGTCACAAGCGCGCGAAACGAACCTGCCTCGACGAGCAATCAAACTGTAAAACACGCTCTTCCACGCAGTTGCTTATTCTCTTTCGAGGCACAAGAAACAAGCCGAGAGCCACAGTGACAAGCAGAGAGAGCAATGGAGAGAACACGCGCTAACAGCTGTTAAAATAACAAGCCTGCCTCGACCAGCAGTCAAATCAGTGTGACCCTTAGTAATATACCAAAATACCGTCTTATTTTTAAAATATACCGTAAATATACTGACGAATTATTAAAGCTCCATCTTACATATTCCTCAATTTTGATATTCCATGGAATATTACTAGCTAGATAGAACTCTCAGCCATGCCCACATAATTTTACCCGATTAATAGATGAATTTTCTAGTTGACTAGCTTGTTTCAAATACTGGCTTTTATTGGCTTTGTCTAAAAAAAGGTTTTAGCGAAAAGGTCAAACAAAACAACGTAACAGAGTAATAGTTCATATTGCTCAATTTTGATATTCCGTTGAATAATTCTGGCAAACTAGGATGTTTAGCTCTACCCACATAGTTTTCTTCCATTGATGAATAAATTTTCTACAAGACTAACTACTTTTAAGTACTCCCATTTGTTGTATTTTGACTAAAACAAGATTTAAACAAAAAAGTGTATCAAAAAAACAGTGGCAACAGTGGTATATTAATTTCTTACATGTTGCTGGTATTTGCAGACTGTTGCTTGTCAACCGATGTAGGGAAATTGGAATACCCTAGTTTTCCAAACTGTTTTTCAAACGTAATTAATGAAGAAATTTCCTCAAATTGATATTTTTTAGACGTATTCATGCATATGATTAGTTTCCTGTATATACATATATCCCGATTCCGATACTCATTCTTGGTCTCCATAAGAAGACAATTAACTGCAAAATTTAGTTATGATAGCTTTAAAACAGAGACTGACTAGTTTCTCCATATAGTGGAGCCAGATGACCAACATATCCTCAGTTTTACAATATCCATTTCCCAGGGTTTGCAATTGTGGGACATGCTGCTCGTTTTCTCGGCATATGAGTCTGGCCCATACAAATATAATGTTGCCAACGGTACGTAAACATGTTTCTGCAGCAACATGTTTTGAAATGCATTTTTTGAAACGATAACGTTTTTTTTATAAGATATCGGTTTGACAAACATTTTTGACGATTTTCATTGGTCAAATGTCAAATTCATATTTAAAGTAAATTACAATAGCTATCGGCTATTACAATGGCTGACCATAAATGGTACCATCCAAGACCAATTTTTGTCGAAACACATTTTGAATCTGCTCCCGGTGGATTCATCTTTTCAATGATTGGAAAATGCAGTTCCAATCAGGACCATATGTATGTCGATCAAAGTACAGTAATTAGAGTACATAATTATTAAATTATGGAATGGGATTAATTGTTGCTACCGATTCATACCGGTTGAAAAAGAGCGAAAAAGAGTGCCTTAATAGGTGAAAAGAGCAAAGAGAGCAAAAGAAACAAGCCGAGAGAGCATAAAAAAAAGAAATACTCGTTAACAGCTGTTAAAATAACAGTGGCTGGAATCAATGACCGAGTGACAACATACCAAAGCGGAAAAATACTAGTGACCTCTGTTGCTGGTATGGCTTAAAATTAGCAAAGGTTTAAATAGTAAAATATCACTTGTATTTATGTACATATATATACATATAATATATTCACTTAAATATATTTGTGGTTAAACTCTAAGTATCAATTATTTGAATGACTGATAAACCACCTGTTGAGGTTTTCGCTTAGTATTTTTCGATAATGCGTCAACAATTACATAAAAGACTAGCTGTACGAATCGAAGGTATTTCAGTTTTTCATTCGATAATTTTTAAGTCTTATTAATCTCCCATATGATCCAAAATTCATCAACTTGGCGAACTCCCCCTTGCAGTGGTGGTGTTTACCTTTTGTGAACCTTTTTTTTATACATTTTTAGTATTTTTGTACATTTGAAGACGCGTTAGGGAGTCTGCTAACACACCGGTGTAGAAATCGTGTAGAAGTCCCATGTAGAGCAATGTCGCAGGGCTCAAAAATTTCAATTTATCGACAATATAAATGAAAACACTGAAACCAAATAATTTGATATTTTTGGGGTGCCTTTAAATTTGTTTTATCGGGTTTATCCATTTTTGTCATTAAGTTTTTGTGTTGCTTTGAAATTGTGGAAGCCCTGGCCATGGTATTTATAGTATTTATCGATAGAGCAACAGCTGAGATCGCCTTTGAATTCAATAACAAGTGCATTTTCAATGAATTAGGTATTTGAAACCAGGAAATTCAGCCTTAAATGCGCAATTATTGACTGCCTTAACTAAGCCCTCGAGTTCGGAACTATTTGGAAAAGAGTAGGTTCCAGCATAACAACCTAAAACTGCACGCCGAACCTGCTTCGACTAAAAACACACAAGCCTCTGTTAGCATTGGTAAGGGCTTTCAACAAATTGCGCTGAGCAAAGCGAAAACTAAAACCAAACTAATTACAGGTTCAATAGGGGGGCCCCAAGGCGAAGCGCTAATGCGACATCAACATCAACGCGTGGCTGGAGCTAATAGTGATTGCCCTAAACCCTTTCCAGCGGGATGTATGGATTCCTCAAAAATGCACTGACTGGCTAGTCCGAGAAGATATTGAGTACGCCTTTTATTTTCAATCCTTGTATTTAAAAACATACGTAATGGTGGATATTTTCCGCAGAATAGAACACAAAGCAAGAAGCGAAACGAAGGAAACAAATGGCGCACTCACGGAAAACAAAACGAGAAAACGCTGAACGCGAGAAATCTTGTAGCACCGATGGAGCACCAAATGAAGAGGAAGTCAACTGTTCAAGATAAAATCGAGGATTGCTGGAAAGTCGTAATGGATTATCTCAACGTAGACCACCTTTGCCTCGCTTCCTCGAACGTGTATATCGGAGAGATGTTCAAGAGATACAATCGGTGCAAACATATTGAGGAATCTGCGAAAACATGAAATTTTCTACTTTCGACCGGGATAACGACACTGATGTTTGAAATATTTAGTGTCCCTTCCTTATATTTGTATACCTTGCATTCGCGATTATCGACAGCGGGAACTTGTGGAACAAATTTTTTGTTTGTGTATCTTTATATACTGGCATATATATATCAAAGATATATTGGAACAAAGGGTATACAAACTTCCATACGCAGGTTTTTTGAATTTTCGCTCACAAATCGTACTTACGTGTATCATTTATTCCAATAGATTGCATTTAAATCCTTTTTGCTCATTCATTTTCAAACAATTTCTATTTGGCGCTTAAGTTTGGTGGGACTTTTTTGGGATTTCCTCTGATGGGATTTTTCCTCGCCAGAATTTCCCTTTTCCCTAGTCATACTCACTTACTTACGTCTTATGTCGCTGGCAACATTGAGCAACATTTTGCATACCCTAGGGAAATAGATATTTTAGAACTTTTACTACGTACGTAAAAGGATATTATATAATTGAAGAATTGTTTGTCATCTAATGCACCAATAAAGGCCAAAACTAGGCAGTCTACGTTTTAAAGGTATTTCAACGTTATTTTGATCTTACAGAAACCAAGAATGGGTATTGGGATCGAGATATACATACATACATTGTATTTACAAGACCCTAATCATATGCATGAATATGTCTAAAACATATCAATTTAAGATAATTTCTTTATGAATTACGTTTTAAAACAGTTTCTTCATATTATATTAACCAAACAGGGTGTACCTATACCTAAACTCCGGTTGACGTGATATTACCGCTATGTTACCGCTGTTTTTTGTTGACCTTTTTTGTTTAAACCTTGCTGTAGTCAAAATACAATAAATGGGAGTACTTAAAAGTAATTCATCCTTTAGAAAATTTCTTCATCAATGGAATAAAATTATGTGGGCAGTGCTAAAGATATCAGTTAGCGAGAATTATTCAACGGAATATCAAAATTGAACAATTATTCTGACGTTTTCTTCGTTTGACCTTTTCGACCGTTTTTTAGACAAAATCCAATAAAAGCCAGTATTTGAAATAAGATAGTCAAGTAGAAAATTCATCTATTAATCGGATAAAATTATGTTGGCATAGCTAAGTGTTCTATATAGCTAGTAATCTTCGACGGAATATCAAAATTGAGCAATATGTATAATAGAACTTGAGTTCGTCAGTATATTTACGGTATATTCTATATTTTGGTATATTTCCGAGGGTCACACGGTGTATTTTAACGATAAGTCCGCGGACACACTGGTTTGTGCTGTGCTTTTCTGTCTCGTTCCGTCGTTCCGCGTCTGTCCGCGTCTCCAGTCGTTCCTGCGAGTGCGTGTGTGTGTGTGTGTGTGAATGTGCCTGTTCCCGTGCGTAGGTGTTGGTCGCGTGTCGTTGCCGTTGCCGTTGCCGCTGCCGCTGCTGCCGCCCGTTGCCTCTTTACATGTAAAGCAGATTGTGCAAAGGTAAAGCCAAAACCAAAAGCAAACAGCAAACGGTAGCAACAAAAGTGAATACAAACATAAATAAAACAACAACAAATACAAGTTGTGAAATAGTTTTAGCCGCGGCGGCTGTCGCTGTCGGTGGCAAATGGCAGAGACGATAAAAAAAATAATTCTTAACATAAAACAGGTTTACTGTGCTACCAGCAGAGTGCGAGTGGGAAAGAGAGAGGGAGATGGAGTGTGTTTGTGTGCAAATGTTTGGCTGCAAGGTCCCCACTGTGCTGCACAGTGGGCAAACCCTAATGTGCCCCACTGTAGGCTAGAACTTGTTTGGAGACCGAAATCAATGTGAAGAACCGTTTGCCCGCAAGAGCCGTTAGTTTTTCGTTGCCCCCGGCCCCCCCCTGCCAGCCCCTTGCCGATCAAATTCCAGGCAGCGCCATTCCCCCCTCAACCCCACCCCCACACACACGAGTCTAAATCAGCTGGCTCTGCAGTCGGCGCAGCTCGGGGCAGAGGCAGAGGCAGCGACCGAGGCAGCCCCAGCTGCGGCATCGGGCACCTAGCAACAGTGCGACGACCAGGAGCGGACTCGAAGCCGTCTTCAGCCTTATGGGGCACGCGCATGGTGAAACGGGAAATCGGCAATAGTTCCAAATGGTAGCGGCACTTTTTTTTTTGTCTATGTTGGGCGCCCACCACACAGCTCCAGTCCAGCCCTGCCTATCGCTGCCGCTGCCCCCGTCAGCTGTGCGATCACTGCGCAGGCGCCACACACAAACACTGACGCACGCACCCGCATACAGCAGTAGCAGCAGCAGCAGCAGCAGCCACAGCCACAGCCACAGGCAGAGTCTCGTTACTGCCTGACTTTGGCCTGCAAAAATTGCATTGCTGGCATCCCGCTCGCACTCATTTACTTTGGCAGTAATGCTGCCGGAAAACGGTTCTCGGTTCTCGGCTGTCGGTTCTCGATGCTTCGGCGTTCTTAGGAGTCCCCGTAGTCCCGTAGTCGGCAGTCGGCTTTACATAAGTTGACATCCACAAAACGCACAAAACGCTCTGACTGTGGGGGCTCTGGGGCTTCAGTGACCGGCTGCAGGTCCTTTGCTCAAGTTCTGGCCGCGCTTTCATTTCCACATTTCGAAATCAGCTGCTGCCCGTGTGTGACGTCTGGGGGGCCGCCTTTTTGCACCACTCGTACTCGTTCAGTTTTTTTCCCCACGGGATTTTCCTCCTATTTTCCTGTGTGTTTGCGATTAGTAGACGTAGTTTTTTTGGGAAACCGGCTCTCTCAAAAGGCTTGCCTTAACCATCATCATTATCATCGTCAGCCGCGTCGACAGTTGCTGTTTTTTCAGCTGTTCGCTTCGACTCGAAAAAAGTTGTTCAACTTCTTTTTTTTTTACTAATTTAATTTGTCTTTTTTTTCTATTATTTATCCCAACTATTTGCCGTTTGCGTGGGTCACTTTCAAAAGCGTTTTTTTCGTTCCTTTTGTGGTTCCATCATAAGACCAAAAACTTGATTTATAATCGGTACGTGCGGCCAGCAGTAAATCAATAAAACAATATAAACCCAACCAAATCAATTAATTTATATACAAACCGAATGCAGTCAAAGTGTTGATCGAATATCGAATAAGACAAAAGTATTAAATAAAATCAAGAGAGAACCAACCGGCCACCAACATGTAAGGCAAGGCAGGCAGCTCAGCAAAGTTAGCTTTTGCCCCCGCTCCCCTCCAAAGATGGCCGCCAGGATGTGCAGCAGTAGCAGCAGCAGCAGCAGCAGTGTTTCCATCGTCATCATCTAGCTGCAACAGCGTCCAGTGCAGCACCAGCAGCAGTTGCAGCATCCATGCAACATACCCACATATACACAGAAATACATATTTCGAACGCACACTCTCGCATAGTCCACTCTTAAAGGTGAGTAGTACTTAAAGTTTTAAGTTTTAAATACTCTGCAGTCGTAAAAATTGGGTGAACGAAGAGTCCCTCGGTTTAAAGGCCAAGCAGAAGCGGCAGAGATTTTTCAGGATTTTTTTATGGGATCTCCTAGTGAAAGTCAAGTAAAGGTGGCAATTTTTAACGATAAATAAATGTTTAAGAAGTCTTTCATTAAAAAAAAATCTATGGAAATTAATAGGTACAATACAGTGTAAAATTATGGTTTAATATCCAAAGATTTCTAAGGAAGATGGGGCTCTATAGTATATAATAATAATCCAAAATGAAAATCAAAATGAAATACATTTAAAGTTGCATTCAGGAGAAGTCTTATTCAAATAACCAAAAGGATTCCCTTAAAAATTGAAAAATTTTTAAACAATTTAGAGGATGATTAGAAAATATGAATACGGTTTGAATATGTCCAAATATTATGTGGTATAGACCTGCCGCATACCCTCACGAATATATGGAATGAATTTGGAAACCTTCGTCCATCAGAAGCCCCTGAGATGTGTCCAATCAAGAGAATCGCATGATGAATGACCTCAGCACACACTCCCCATCAATCTTCGCACACACACAATTGTCTGCCTCCCCCGAAGCAGCCCCCGTTTGATATTTGGCTTGGGATATTCTTTGATATTTGGCGACTCTCGTCTTGGGGCTTTTTTTGTTGTTTGTTTGTCCCTTTCGCTTGCGTGCTTAGAGCATCTCAAAGTCTAACATTTCTTTTTCGGTTTGGCAGCACACGAAATATCTTGGTGGCAAGCGCGAATTTTTACGACTCTTTTCGCTGGGAGTAAGACTCGAAATTGGAATCGGATTCGGACTCGGACATGGAGCTGTAGCTGGGACTGGAGGCTGGGACCTGGTCAGAAGAGAGTTCAACCCAAGTGGAGGGCAGCAGCAGCAGCACCACCAGTGGGGCTGAGTTTTTATTTTATTTGGTCGCGAGCCCATTGAAAAAAAGCTCGTCAAACCAGTCGCCGCCGCCGTTGTTTTTGCTCTTGCTTTTCCTAGGCCTGGCCTGGGCAAACTGGCCCCCGTTGATGACTTTTTACATAGCCGTTGGCCCGAAGAGCGAGAGGGAGACGAGCGCTACGCTACGCTACGCTGGATGGCTGGGCCAAAAGATACCAAGAGATACGAGATACTCGGCACAAGAGCGGACCCAGGCCCAGGCGGACACCCGACTCTCAGTCCGACTCTACTAACAGACAAAACACACGTATCTAAACTTGTTTGAAACGTGTTACATTTTAAGAACGTTCGCCGCAAGCGGCAAGTGGCAATAATCCTTTCAAACTTGACAGCGTTGCCATGATGTTCGGCAACATGGGGGCAAAGGGCCTCAGTCGCAGTCGCAGTCGCAGTCGCCGTCGCACTCCCCTAGTGGGAGTGGCACATTGACTGAGTTTTTTTTTTTAGTGCCACACATGGGCACATATGTATTTGTACATGCATGCATTCAAGTATCTATGTATCCGGGGGATCGCTATATGCTATATGCTGGCTGTCATTCGTTTTGGTTTTTCAGACATTTTGATTGCCGGTTTTGGGCTGCTTTTGTTGCCATCATTTTTTTTTTTTGTACCCCCCCTTCCCCCCTACCCTCTGTTGGGCCTTCGCCGTCGCCATTTTCCTCTACACACAAACAAATACAAGAGTCCTTTTACCCAAATCCCACACAAAATAAAACAAATCCTAAACGAAAGGCTGCTGCCATCGGGGGGCTGTCGAAGACTGGGATACCCTAGAAGATCGAGGTTTCACTCGAAAATGTTCGTAGCATCGGTGTAAAAATGTTCCATAAGTGAAAGGAGAGTATTGTCTTTGAAATTCATGAGAAAACAGCGTTTCTGGGAGGAGATATCTATGTTGCGTGAATATAACTACGGCCGGAGGTATCAAAGAATATCGGAAGTATCGGAAGAATATTCCACTGATCGAAAAAATCATCTGTTTGCTTTCAGAATTTGGGAGCAAAAACAAAACCCATTCTCAAGGATATTCAGGGATTCTCTTCGTCGGTTGTCGGAGAACTCGTCTCATATCAATGTAAGCTATAGGTGCTGCTAATAGAGCTGTCTTATTAGAGATATTTCATGGATAATAAAAGGGCCAAAAGGGCCCTAAAGGACTCCTTTAGGAGTTCGGAAAAGTCTGGATTACGAAACGATCGGTAGAAGGGATATCCCTTCTAATATCTGATCACAATCGCAATATTCTCCCGTGAAAGATAGGGTATAATAAAGATTGGAGTAAAAAAAAGTGAAATTGATATTTTCGCACAAATTGCCGTTAACAAGGATGGTCGTAGGGTATGGGGGAATGGAAAAGGGGGCTGGGCAAGGGGGAGGGGCAACCTAGGCAACGTAAAACGAAATATTTCCCTGTCAAAATTTGGTTGAAAATGTTCTGCAGCGGCAGAGGGAGAAAAAATCAAAATAAATGAGAGAGAAATAAAATAAAAGCGTTTTCGCGGAGAGGTGCAAACGGAGAGGAAATTGTTTACCGTGGTTCCAGAATGATGTAATTTCGCGTGTTCGTGCAATTCAATTTCCTGCCGGCGGAAGCCCGCATGTCGCTCCGCGCTCTCCGACCCATCGGAGAAGTCAAACATTCGTTCACCCATCATAGAAGTACCCATCCCCCACATCTCCAGAGCTCCAGAGCTCCGGAGCTCCATCTCCAGCCCCAGGTATAACAAAGTACTGTCCAAAAATCGTTTGGAAATTCCAAATCACTTTTTTTTTTGTGTTTGTGCCTCTTCCGAACTTTAATTGTGCCCCCCAGACCCGAGCCCCAGGCAAAAGCTGAGCTGCGGGAAATGGAATATATATATTGTCGTATATTCAATTTGGTGAAAATCTGCCATCTAAACAGTTTATCCGTTTTAGACAGCCTCCTCGTTCATGGCATTGGTAGGAGTCAATGAAAATCTCTTCTTATGGCACTCTTTGTACAGAGGAAAGTGTAGAATAAATGTTCTTTAGGGTTCCTTAGCTTAGGTAATCCCTTCGTCATACTTTTAGGGGATTATATGCGGAGTATATTAAATATTAATGAGGGATTTTTGCAAGAACTGTGAGGAAAGAGGAAAGAAAAAATGATAAAGGTTCGTTAAAGATAACGGTACATATTGTACCGTCATATAATTACAGTTGATCATAAAATAAAAAAAAACACAAATAAAAATTAATTTAAAAACATACACCCAGGGAAAAGAGCACTTAAATTTAATTATTTAAAATTCAAAAACGTATACCAAAAATGTTTTCATGGTTAAATTAAATATATTTCCTCTCAATTTAATATAAAAAATGTATATTTTTAAAATTATTATTATTATTATTATTCTTAAATTCAAGTGAATTATATTTGGTATCACTTTTAAAAATCCAATATTTAGTTAAAAAATGGCTGTGTTTCTGAATGCATTTCTTCCGATACAGAGGGTATTTTTCTAAAACAGAATACTTAATGAATTTTATAAAGGCTTTTCTGCCTGCCCCCCCAAAAAAAAAAATCGAACCAAAGTGTATGCAAAACTTCGTTGAATAGAATTTGTGAAAAATATTTGCCATATTTCGCATAAATAAATTATATTCAAAAGACGACCGTCCGACCCCCGGTCAGGGCCTGCCGCCTGCTGGCAAGAGCCCGGGCTTTCGGGCGGGAGGGAGGGGTGGGGGCATTGCCTATATTAACAATAATTCCTTTGTGCCCCGGGCATCTTGCCAAAAAGTTGTGTGGCTGCCTCCTGCCACACAGCAGGCGACGAACGTTTTGTGGCCAATTTCCCGTACCCAAAGGCCCGACCGGCCGGCCAGCCGGCCGACCCCTAACGATGCTTTTTGTGTGTTCTGTGACCCATTGTCCAAGTCGAAGTCAACTTAAATCGGACGGACACAGGGCCTACTATGCGCTCGCTCTCTCTCTGCTCGTATGACGTTTTGTCTGGCAGTTTTTAAATTCAAAAGTTTTTCAAATTGAAATTGCCTCTCGAACCTCGAAACCCGAAACCTTTCGAATGGCAGCAACCGGCGGCGGCAGGAGTACAAGTGAACCTCTGCCTCTGATTGAACCGGTTCGAAAGATTCTCAAATGGCTGCTCGTTTGGTCTCTGAGCAGCGACCAGAAGCTGCGAGAGGCCGAGAAGGAGCTGCTCGAACATCTGGTCACACCGTGCCAGAAATTTTACGTGGACATTGGCGGTGTGGTGGGCAAATCGGACAGGATCTGGACACTGGCCATGAGCACCGAGGACCGCAAGCATGTGCCACTGGTGGCATTGCACGGCCGCGGCTCGGGGCTGGGCTCGTGGCTGCTCAACCTGGATGTCCTGGCCAGCCAGCGGCCGGTCTATGCCATTGACATGCTCGGCTTCGGCCGGAGCTCTCGTCCCATGTTCTCGGCCAAGGCGGACATATGCGACATGCAGATGGTGCTGGCTCTGGAGGGGTGGCGTGAGCAGATGAACCTGCCGCAGATGATACTCTTGGGGCACTGTCTCGGCTCCTTTGTGGCGGTCTCTTATGCCCTGGCCTATCCGGACCGTGTGAAACACCTCATCCTGGCCGAGCCCTGGGGCTTCAAGGAGACTCCCTCGCAGGCCCTGGGGCTGCTCAATAAAATCTCTTTCCTTCTCAATCCCTATTGGATCCTCCGGAGTGTGGGACCCCTGGCCAGCATTCTGCTGAACTACACAGAGCCCCAGCCGCATCTCAAGGAACGGTACCGGGAGCTTTTGGAAGACAAGCTAGACCACTATCTGGAGCAGTGTAAGGCGGCCACGCCCAGCGGAGAGTTAGCCTTCCAGACACTGGCCCAGGGCGAGGTCTCTAGCCACATCAGGCGGCACTGGCATAGCAAATCGCTGATGGAACGTACCCACGAATTGCCCGCCCACCTCGGTTTTTCCTTCATCGGTGGAGCCCAGTCCCCGATGCACTCGCATCCCCATTTAGCCATCGTCAAAGGATCGGGACATTATGTGCACCTGGAACAGCCGGAGGAGTTCAATCAGCATGTCCTCAACATTTGCCACACCATCGGTGACTGAAGCTAAGCCAAACACACAGTTTTCGGAATAAATTTTAGTGTAAAATCCATCAAAGAAGATCCCATAAAAGTACGCTTATTGAAGTTGCTGCCGCTGTCTGTTGTAGATGTAGTAGTAGCCGCCATTGAAGCGGAGAGTGGCCACATCAGAGGATCCCGTCGCTCCACCGAATGCGTCGCCTGGTACGCGTGCTGCCGGGGACGTCAAGTTGAGGGTGCGATAAAAGAAGGCCGTCAGGAAGCTGGCACTCACAACGAAGGCCACAAAGAAGCCCAGACAGAAGATGCAGTCCTTGTTGATCTGCAGACACAGGCAGAAGGCGGCCCCAAAGTCCCCCAAGGCTCGCACAATGCGGGCGCCCAAGGACGGTGGCCCCTGTTCCGCCGCCGCCGCCGCATTCCCACGATTATTGTTCGATCGGATCTGTATGGTGTGGTGGGTGCGTTCACAGGGAGCCCGTGTGTCTGGCTGGTTACGCGGCGGCGCTGTCGGTATGGCGAGGCGGCGGGGCGGTCGTGTGACCACCGTCTGCGTGCCCAGCTCACAGATCTCTGGTATCTGAATGATCACCGCCGTACCAGAGTCCACTGTGAGTGTAACGGGCTCTGGATCGAGGCATTCTTCGTCCTCGCGCCGTACCTTCTCCTCGATTACGTCCAGACGGATCGTAAAGTTATCGAGCATATCGATGAGGTGATTCAGGCGACCTTGAGACCTTCCCGACTCCGGCTTTTGTCCTTCTACAGTGCCCTGTTGGCTGGTGCTGGGCATCTCATCCAGAGGGCAGGAGGCTTCTGGCTCTTTTTTGACATCGGGCGAGACATCTGTTTCGGTGGAACCCACAGTGGCATCTTTCAGATGTACCACCGGACTGTCAACCGCAGCCGGTGGCACCTCATTCTTTGCGGCTGCATCCTCCAGCTGGACTACAGGACAACTGGTCTCTGCTTGGGGGCTCCCTTCTGCCTCCGAGGACGCCTCTCGCTCAACTTTTTTCGTCGTCGCTCTCTGCGGGTCCATATTATTTTGGAAATTATAAATTTTGAAGGGCTCTGTACTCTGCCAAGTCTCTGAGCTCGGAGTTTTATTCCGTGTGACAGCTGTCAGAAAACAAATCCACTTACGTTTTGCCGGAATAATGTCGACTCCAGTATTGTAAAACCCCCATTTCGAACTCTTCTAAATTCCATCTTTGAACGTTATCTACTACATGGCGTGCAGAGAGCCGGAAGAGGCCGCTATCGTCGTTGATCATCTTATTAGCGATCTGGTCCTTGAGGCAGTGACAGATTCTGCCCTCCACAAATCACCCTCACCGTGCGGTTCCTCCACCTGCCAGCGTCTCTTCGACATTTTGGGCTTTCAGCCGTACAGGGACGACAGCGATGTCGAAGTTTGTGTCTATGGCGAGGACGATAAGAGCAGCCTCGAAGCGGTCATGGCTCCCAGCTCCCGTACGCTCATGAACAGCAGTCTCATATCGAATGGTGACCGCATTGCAAATTGGCATAGTTGGGTGACCGAGGCCCTGGCTGAAGGTAAGTGATTGTATCTCATCCATGAGGGGGCTTCCAAGGGGTTGGAAGTCTCTCCTCACTCCCAGTGCGGCTTAGCAGTTACGAATAACGAAGAGAGCACAGTGTGTTTTTCTAGAAAACTGTTGAAATCTGTAAGGAAGCTAATGGAAACTTGTTGCTTCTTCCTAAGGGAGAATATCTCAGCCTGTACGGCTTGTCCGTTACATTTTTTACTCCTTATCACACTTTTGGGACCACCAGCTCACCTAGGGCTTTGTTACTTTACTGCTAAGCCACACTGAGAGAGAGAAAACGTGTAAGAGAGTGAGACAAGTTCTAGCAGTCATATATAAAATGATCTAAGAAACATTCCCTGATTCCACAGAGCATACCGAGGACGATCTAACAATCTATATCAAGAATGAAGCCCTGAGGTCTTGTAGCAGGGCCGTGCAAACGGAACAGCCGCGTCTGGCCGGCTCCGATACCGGCCTGAAAAGCCAAGGCGAACGGATCTTCCTGCCCATGCCCTGCGAGCAGACGCGTCAAACGATATTCATCGATACCGTGTCGCCGCCCGTGCCGAACGTGACGGCGCGTCCTCCCTTGGCCGATCGCTTCTGCTACATGTTGACCGATTTCGCATCGGCACTCTACTGCAGTCTCGCCATCATGTGTTGTTGCACCCCCACTATGTTGCGATAATCGACCCCCCATGATACATAAATCAATCCTGAATTTAATCAAACGCTGCGAAAAAATCATTTAACTGGGAGGCTCAATCGCACCGTTGTCCAAGAATTTTCTGTAGTGGGCCAGCAACAGATAGAGGCACCAAATGCACAGCAAAATAAACAGCACGTAGGGAAAGTTTTCGCCGATCATGAACAGGCAGCCGATAAAAGCGTCCACGGCATTCAACAGGACTTTCAAGAGCCTCTGGTGTAGGGGCGCCCGTTGCATGTCTGTGGCCGATGCCACCGACTCCACCTCGATGTGGATGGTATGCTGCTGGATCTGGCTGGGCTTTTCCTTGGTGGCCACGGACACTCCCTCTTCCACCGATTTTGGGCCGTTCTTCTGTTGCTCCAGCAGAGACCAGGACGTCTGAATGCTCACCTCGCAGGTGGCCGCCTGAATGGTGCGTTCCGACACGGATCCGCCCGAAAGTCTCTCGTTTTGATCTTGGGGGGTAAAGTGGTTACAGATTAGTGATCAGTGTGGATGATGGATGGCTTCCTCACTTGTACCATGGCTTGGAACACGCTTTAATGGATTCGAGACCACCACCTGATGTTTCTGTTCTCCGTCCATCATCTTTGTGTAGCCCTCGAAGAGGTTAAGCAGTTCCGAAAAGCGTTTGTTGATTTGCTTGTGGCTTAACTGGACCTGGACCAGGTAATGGGATATACTGTTGTCCGGCGCCTGTTCAGCTCCGTTCTGGGATCCCCCACTTGGATCCTCTGATGTAGTCTCAGGTCGTGGCAATACGGCGGAGCCTCCATCCCCATGTGTCTCATCCTGGGGCTGCAGCATCCTGCTGATGTTTGGTGTGAGTGTTTTTGCCTTATATGAAGTGTTCAGGTGAATTTTATTTTGTGTCATTCCCAAAATGTGTGTGTCTGAATTTTACACAAAAAAGGGCTGCCTGCTGCTTTATGTATCTACTTGCCACTCGGTGGTGCACTGTCTGCCATTGAGCTTCGTTGGCTAGTGGATAATTTTTGCGCTAAATTAAGCAATTTCCTGCCATGTCTGGGTCGGAAGCAGCCTCTTCTGGGTCTTATCGTGGCCACTCCACTGTCCGTCCGTCCACTGACACTTCAGGCTCTCTCCCTCTCTCTATCTCTCCCTCTGCCGTCCATGGATTTTCTGTCTAATATGACAATTATAACGGTCTAGTGCACTAATTCTATTTTGCATAAATGCATTTTTGAAGCCGAATCAAACGAAAGGGTCATCGGGGGGTGGGCCCACAGATTAAGTCTTCATTCAGCAGGTGCCTCCGTATGTATGTGCTTTGGGCTGTGAATTGTCATGTGACAGCACACGACGGCAGACCTATTTGTCAGATGATTATTAAGGGAAAAACCAAGAGGAAAATAAATGGAGGATATCTGATGATCCAGCTTGGATAATAGCATGGATGCAGCACACAACGATCTCTGGCAGAAGGGGCCTCCTATCTGTTCCTTTTCTGTTTCTATTATGACTAAGAAAACAACACAGTGAGGCTTCAAATCGATCAAAAACTGTCTGCGTAACATTTCAGAACTGAAGAGTCTCCCAGGCTCTTAGGAGACTATCTGCATATTAAAGGACATGCTACATACGATTATGATATATAAGGTCATATATAGCCCCGCCAGCGTCAAAAACCCTTACGCATTTATTCGAATACCCCCAAAATCAAAAAAATACAGAAAATTCAAAACTTTTCAGCGCTAAAAATTAAAAAAAAACTCCTAAAATCGTATTTATTTTTGTGTAAGAACCGGCTTAGGACGCATTCATTCAAATGAGGCCTCACCACGCGGCACCACCCGAAGGGAGCCGAACTCGAGAGCTCTCAGCCGAAGCGAATAGTTTATTTTCAGTGTCCATTTCTTTATGGGAAATTTGCACAGCGACTGAGCATCATTCAAAGATTAATGCATGTTAAGATAGTGAGATGTATTACCACAGCCAGTCGAAGGCTGTGACTTCCAGTAGATATCAGTTGATGACGTTTAAGACTAAGATCAATTATATTTGCATAAGCTGACTAGCCGAATGTCCAACGAAGCTTAGAACAGGAGCGATCGAGAGCGCATGAGATCAAGGACTCGTGTGATCGATAGAGATAGAGCCCGATGCTGCTGCCGAAAGTGCAAGAACAAAAGAACAGCACAGCTAGTGTGCTACTGCCGTGTGTTTCGCATCTTTCGGTGCAGTGGGCAGGGCAATAAGCTAACAATAATACAGATATACTTTAGGCTGCGGTACTAGCCATGATCTATGTAGATTTACTTGCTCGAGCATACAAGTTCTTCATTCTGTGGAGGTGAAATGCCTTAATACATTTTTCTAATTAATGTTCCATCATTGAAGAATCGTTAATGCAAAATTGCTACCAAAAACTTCTCTTGATATGCAAACATAATAAATTAATGAAAACTTTTGCTCTTTCCGCCAACCCCCATAAACTATCATTTTATTTTCTGATATTCTTTTCGTATTTTTTTTTTCAACCGCAATTTCCGTTCAATTCCAAAAAAAAAAAGCTGTCTCCGTGGTATATTTCATAATTTGTTCGAGGGAAACTTTTCGATGAAACTCCATTAAAGCAGAGACATAATAAATTCATGGAATATCTGGAATTCGAGAACACTCCTTCGGGAGGAAGACTACGCACATTTGTCCACCAGCTGGCGGTGAGGGATGGGGTGGGGAAACTTTTGTCGATGTCGTTGTCTGTCCTAAGACCTCCGGCCTTTGGCGTCCTGCGTCCAGTGTGCGCACCTGCTACTCAGGGGTTGTACCGTTCGGATGCATCTTCTGCCACTGATGCTGCTTCTGGGGGCCATTGTTATCATTTAAAAGGCTTAAGTGCGCCAAAGATTTATATTTATATTTGAAAGGGAAGCAGCAAAGGAACAAAAACCAACATCGCATCCGTCCATGCAACGAGAAAATAAGATAAACCAACACTTTATTGATTTTCCTCTCGCATGTGATGCCGCTCTCTCTCTGTGTGTGCGAATGCTGTTGCCAGGCATGGCCTGGGGTCCCTTTTCCCGTATTGCCGCAGTTTTGTCGCCTGTCCAAAAAAAAAAAAAAAAAAAAAAAAAACAGTAAAAGAAGAAAAGTCGGGGGAAAGGACCGCAGGGAAGAGCCCCAACGCCTGCGCTTGATTCATCTGCCAGCTGATTGGTGTTTGTGCGGAAGCGTTGGAGCAGAACAACTGTGTGGGATTGAGTCGCCGCCATCCGCCATCCGTTCCATCCATCATCATCCTCATCCTCACCCTTCAGTTTACCCTTTGGCTGTATGTTAAAGCTAAATTGTGTTGCCGGCTTTTAGGGGTGTTCCCCTCTGCTCCCCTCCTACATCTATCATAGGACATGCGTAGCATCTGGAATCATCATCTGGCTTCTGTAGGAATCAATCTTCAGGTGCTTATATGTGTACATACATAAATATATTTTCTATAATTTATAATCGTTTTCGTGGCCAGAATTAATTTAGATCTAAGCCTTCTTCTGGACTTCTCACTCGCTGTTGCATTTTATTTTGGCAATCAGCCTGATTATGCCCGGCCCCATTCTGTAGAATTTATGAGGTGTTGCTGATTATTCTCTCGGTGGCCAAACAAATGGAGTAGGCGTCTAACCGTTGCCAAAACTCACGAGACTCCGCCTCGCGCCTCGCGCCTCGTGGCATCAGCTCGTAAATAATATTTGTTTAGATATATTTTTGCCTTAATGCTTGTTTGTTTCCTATTACTCTGGGCCGGCTCGTTTATCATCCTCTGGGCCAGCTTAACTGCAGTGCTGCGGATGCTGCAAAAGCAGCCAAAGGACTTGCGAGTCCAGGCACAGCATGCATTCAATTAGCGCCTGGCAAAGAATTTGGATTTTCATCATGCCTTTTTATCATTAAGCCCATAACTTCTCAGACATCTTCTGCCGCAACTTGTGCTATTTATCATCATAATCATGGCCTACGATTTGTTGCAGCTTACATTGGACAATAATCATGGCCTAGGATTTTTCACACTTTAGATTGGAAATCCCAATCGTAATTGGAAATTTTGTAATGGTCATTCGAGGGACAATACTATTTCATTTGCTAAAGACCAGCCATGAACTTTAGCACTAGTTTGTCTTATCGGAAATTGTTCTCTGTTTGTTTCATTCCAAACGAATGTGTCCGTTCGCTTAGGGGAAATTTGTATAGACCACAGGAGCATTTCAAGCTCCATGAAACTAGAAGAAATCGTAAAATATCTACGCTTCACTAATTTCGAATCGTTTTTATTGTTATCGTTTCATTCCATCGTTCCATTCCGCTAGTTATTCTTGAGTAGTGTAGCTCCGAGAGTCAACGGGGTTGTTTCAAGCGTTCCCAAGCCTATCGCTTTTATTGTTATCGTTTCATTCCATCGTTCCATTCCGCTAGTTCTTCTAGAGTGAATGGAGGTACTGTAGTTCCGAAAGTCAATCGAGTTGGTTTAAAAGAACCAATTCTTCAGGCGATCCCAAGGAAGATTAAAGGCCTCGAGTCTTGCTGGTCCCATAGTAAAGTGTCTGGTCATTGCTGGCAACTCTCTGCTCCAGTAGTTCCTCCAGTTAGGAAATCTGGAAAATTCCAATAGATCTGTGAAATAAATGTGCCAACTTTCTATTCGGAAACACCGAACAGTATTCTTTGCTATTAATTCTAGTCTGTTTAGATTAGTTAGTGCCTCTGGTATTAAGGTATATTATGGGTCCTCTATTCCATTCAGCTCTATGTACATAGAAGATGTCGCATGTCACAGTCGCTTACACCTGCCAAAGTCCTCAAAGCGTTGTCAAAACGTTTGCCACTCTTGTCTATGGCAAAAGGTAAGTGAAATTTCCGGGTGAATCCTCCCCAAGGTCTCATGGCTCTTATGCCTCTCGTGCCTCTCATGCCTCTCGTGCCTCCCATGCCTGCCTTGTGTGGCAATCAGTGGCCGGGTAGACTCTTACCTGGCCACTTTGGGCGCCTAGACCTGGGCTCTTGTGCCCAGACCTCCCCGCTGGTTAGTTGACATTTAATGGCATTTGACACTCTCCACGGCGTGTCCGCAAGACAGGAGCAAAAACATCACAAGCAAATACAAAATATAGCTAAAAAAAAATACCGAGAAAGGAGAGAATAGAATATCCGTAATGGAAATATTGCTAAGAAAATCAATAGAAAATGGTAAAGGAGACAGCAGCAGCAGCAGAGGCACCCGGCACCAGGCACCAGGCAGGATGGAGCCGGTCGAGCACTTGCCTAATGAAGTTGTTGCCTAAAGAAGGGACAACAGCATCGATGGGGTAGGGAAAACAGAATAGCAGGAAGAACCACTACTCGGGGAGCACATCCCGTGAGCAGGAGTCCTGGACAACAGCAATAACAACATCAATGCACTTAATGCTCTTGTTTGCTTAACTTTATTTGATGTCCTTGCCTTGCTTATTTTTCCCCCTCCCCTACTTTTGCCTCATTCACGGAAAAGGATACCTTCGCTATGACATCAACTATGGCCAGGGTGGTAAGATATGATACAAATTTAGGGAAAATTTCAAACAATTTCTGTGCTGGGAACACTTGATTTAATTTTTTTAGAAACCAGATCTGCAAATTCCCTTTGTATTGCTAAGCTGCTCTGTGAGAGAGAGAAGCAGTCATGGGAAGTAGTTTTCTGCAAATTTTCTTCAAGAAAATAGATCCTGGCAGTGTATTTGAATTTAGGTAATATTCCCATCTCTCATTCGGTATTCTTTGGCTGCGTTTTCTATTTGTTTTTCTAGCGACGACTACATATATGGTGTTTACGCAGAAGTCAGTAGCAGGAGCAGTCCTGCCAGCACATGTTGACCACTTAGACTCGCAGCAACAACAACAACAACGACAGCAACAAAGACAGCAACAGCAAAAGAAAACAGGGGCAAAAAACGAGAGGAAAAAGCGACACCAATTTTCTGGTCTCGAGTGTAATGCATTTAGCGATGGTCGAGCAAAATGTACATTGTCCGATACGGCCGGCCCCCTGTCATGCCTGGGTACCGGATACTTTTGCTTATTTTGCGGTCAAATTAATACCGCTGCAGGAGGCATGGGGCATGGGGCATGCAGGAGGCATAAGGCAGAAGGCTGCGGGCAGCAGGCTGTGGCAGGATGTCTGAAACTCGTTCACGTTGCATGTATTTTTAATTAATTGCGTGCCTCCTGCCCCTCGGCCGCCCTCTTTCCAGAGGAACCAGATGGGTAGCAGGAGTCGAGTCGAGTTGATTTGAGTCGACCCGACCATTGCATGCCATGTCCTCCCATGTGGCCAGAGCCTGCTCGCTCAAGTCCCTGTTCCTTGCGGTCCTTGTGGTCCCTGTAGTCCCCGTAGTCCTTGTGTGTGTGTCTGATCCTCATACTTTAATAGGTTTATGTCCACCTTTTTTTTCGTGTGCCATTACGGCAAGGATGAAACAGAAATTAATCCTTGCCACAGACTTTTGATATCAATTCTTTTGGGGGGGACACGAAATTATAAATTATTTAACATTGGATATGTTCAAAATGGCATCGTTTTGCAGGTGGAGTGTATCCATTTACATATAATCCAATAAATACTTTGAAATAATACAGATTTTATATTGAAAAAGAGTGCTATATCGAATCGTGCTAAGAATATGGTTTCAAATGGATTTCAGTAGAATGTTTGCGTTTTAGTCACTCAAGAGGCATTATATATGAAGAATATGGCACTGCCAACGAAAAGCTGTCTTAAAACTGGAGGATATGACATGAAAACTCACTCTTGACTGCTCAGCTACTCTGTAAGAGAGTGGGGAGATTGTTCTCTTCGTTCTAGGCTTTTGCAAACAAAAAGTAAACACTTTTCTGGATCTATTAGAATACCGTTATTCCCTTGGGTGTATAGGGCATATCATAGTCGTATCGTTTCATTCATATTTCGACTTGTTGGACTTTCCGTCTGGCCTGAATCTGACCGCAAGCCAGAGCCGCCGCCGTCACCAGCAGCGCTACATCATTTGCGGTTAATTGTAATTAAAGTTCAACGGTATGCTCCAACGCACACATGCCCCAACGCATCAGCACAGCACACCACACCACACCACACCACACCACCCTCTCTGCCCCACCGAATACACATCCACATCCTGTGTGCGAGACGACCCAGCAATCGGTGTTCATTATGTCATAAGTAAGGCAAACATTTTGATACGATTCGATACGCTTCAGACACCGTGCCAGAGACATATTCGAGTGTAGTATTCGAGTACACAGCATTTGCTCGAGTATATTGTCAGTGTCAGTACAAGCGAGTTATTTCGGCAAACAAAATTCTCCGAAACGTTAATTTAATACCAATTACCGCCCGCAACTATAACCGTAACTATGCCGGAAACAAAAACCAATACGATCCCCAGTCCCAGTGATGGACGCGACAACGTCGAGGATGGAATGGCGGCCGCCAATCGACTGGTGGAAAGCCCCACCCATCCGGCGACGCCAACCAACAGTCGCCGCCAGCCACGCAGCCGTCTGCCGCAGGGACGGCGAGAAGTCACCGACTTCACGGCCAGCCAGGAAGTGAAGCTAAAGGCCGGCAACATGCGCATGGCCAAGATCCAGATCAGTCTGGCCAATCTGCGCACCGAAATGGAGGAGACGAACAAGCAGCTGCGCAACCTCTGCAAAACCATCAAGGTCGACGTGGACGCCGAGTAGGGTCATGCGAAGGGTCATCTTCTGTTAGCCAATGAAATTATCTGTTGAAAAGTAGTTAATGTTTGAGATAGATGTTTGAAAAATTGGTTGCTGTATCCAAATTTGAAGTCCATGAAATATTAATGTATCTAATTCTTAAAAATAATACAACGGATTGGCAAGAATCTTTGAATGTCTACTTTTAAGTGTAAAATCTTGTAAATAGCGAACACTTTTGGTATTTTTAGTACTTTAAAGTTAAAATAAATCAGTAATTATTCTAAAGTTGCATCTATTAAAAGCATTAAATAGCGATTTGTAAGAATATAAATACACTACGCTCCATAGAGCCCCAATTGCACGTATCTGTGATAATAATTAAATGAGGATAATGAGGATCTCGCACGAGCAGATCTATTGGTAGGTGTTTAAATAATACACAGTGCAATCAAATTAAACCTTATGAATTTTCTTTTCTCGAGACCAATTTCAGCTTGTAGACCTCCTTGAGTAGCTCTTATTTATTTCTAAATTTTAATTCCACTGTTTCGTAAGTCGAAAACACTTCTAAAGGTAATTTTGGCATGGATATTTTCCATAGAACTAACACTCCTTCACTTGCTATGAAAATAAAAGCTGGCAGCTATGAAACTAAAAATTGGTTGCCATGAAACTTTTAAAGCTGGAGGCTATGTAAATAAAAACACGGAAACTACGCAGAGAATCGTCTCAGCTCAATGTTTTTGTTGTTGTTACTGAGAGAGCAATTAGGAGGTATTTCTTGCTAGGAGAGCAATGGAAAGAATGAGAGCTTGATGAAATTATACAAGGTGGTCCGCACCCGCAATGAGCTCTCTTTTCGGGTCGTATTTTGCACAGTACCACAGCCAACTTGGTTCCTCTCTCTCAAAGCGCACTCAGTACTGCTGAGAGTAAAATAAGACCCGAAAGAGAGCGATAGCGGACCACCTTGTATAATTTCATCATGAATGAAAGTGTGTGCAGTGCCTGAGAGAAGAAAATCTCATAGATTGTAGTTCAAACACACAAAAAGAGTAGCCACCCTGTCCAGGGTGAAAGCTCTCTAATTTACATACATAAAAAACAAGGAAAAACCATTTTTTAATATTACCTTTCTTTTGCTTTTCAGGCGGTGCTTTGGCAATCTTATTACCGAAAGAGCATCCAACAAAAAGCATTCGTCTGCTGTTCCCAGAACCAACAAACAGAGAGAGAGAGAGACAGGTATGTGTACGAGTATATTGTATACAAAAGTTGCATTCATATGTTAATACCTATAAGTTCCTGCCTCATTCTGTGCCCATGTGCCCTCACCGCTCTCGTATTCTTACCTCCAAATTCCTTTCGAGCATGGGGGAGCTTTTGGGCGGAGAAGCCGGCGTGATGGCTTGATTTAAATTAAAAATTTATTGCATATTTTTTTGCGCCACCCCCCCACATTGTATATTGCTTCTGCATGTATGTCTGTGTGTGTAGGATGGAAAAAATATATTTCCATGTGTGTGTGTGTGTATAAATTAAATTTGTGTGCGCCGGCGAACGCGCCCAGGGCCAACAACCGGCAACATGCATGAACATGCCATGAACTCAAATTTCCAACGTCAACGGGTTAAGGATGTGTCCTGGTCGGAGGGACAGGTATATGGTGGTAGCGAAGGGAAGGGACAGAGGCTAAGGAGCCCCGCGGTGGGTGCTCTGTCGAGTCAAGTCGAGTCGAGTAGAGTCGAGGGTCTGGCGGTCTGGCACTTCAGCAACCGTTTTGATTACTCGCATGTTTTCGCGTGCAACTAAATTAGCGCACGTGTAATCAAGTTCTGTTCGTTGCAAAATACAAAAAACCCAGCGAAAAAATACGAAGAAAATTTACATTGAAGCTTGTATAAAGTCTTTCCTCTTTCTACCCATCCATTAGCCCCGCCCCTGCTCGTGCTGAAGGGATTCATATTTTTTGGGGTTTGTTGTCAACAGAATGTTCAAAGTAAAGTAATTCGTGAGCTCGTGTATTCCTTATTTTGTAAGCTAAAAATGGGGGAAAATTTTGCTGGTACAACACCATCAATCATATCATAAAATATTAAACATAATGAGTGGGAAACTTTGTGTTACCTTATGCACCTCTTCATGGCACATAATACTCGTAGTTCCAGGCGCCGATTATCATAAATAGTGACGCTTACAATAGGTATCCACGGAGTGCCTTATACTCTATAATTGGGAAGACATCTACCGGTAGAATCCGCTAGGAGGAGCCCGCTCTTACAGAGCAAAATCTCGCTCTCTCGCAAAGAACCCCTTTTTATATTGATATCTTACTCATATCGGCGCGAGCGAGTGAAGCGAGTGATCCGGGGGTTGGCGCACGACCAAAGCCAGTGTGCTGGCGGTTTTCCTCCTAGTCTTCCATATTCTTCCAACACACTCTTGCTATGTGTTCATGCTAGTTATTTTATTTAAATTATTTTATATGAAAATCCAGCAATATTGATCGTATATGTGATCTATATGATCTACACTCATCGGCCCGATTTTCGACGAGTAACGCGACCATGTAGAATTAATTGAAACACCTTCTTTTTGTGTAATTTGAGAGTGCAGTCCGATACGAAGTTGATTTCGGGCACATAGCTTGGGATCACCCTTGTATCGATTGTATAGTCCTTGATATAAAATGGTGTATTCTGGAACGATAATATCATGAAGGGTATATATTTGATGATAGTCCGAAATTCAGCGGCAAACCTTTTTAAAAGGACAATGAAAGGGGAAATTGGAAGCACGTCGTAGCTCATCGGCAATCATTTTCATCAAATAATTCGAATATATTGATTCCAAAGCATCGCAATAATTAATTTCCAAGGTAGTATAGTTGGATACCGTTGAGCCACGCTTTATGCCGAATATATATGTTCCATTGATGCCATTCAGAGTGTTGGCCAAGGTGAATTCTACGGAGAATGAGCTTGAGATTTGGGATGTTCGATCCAAACGACAGCTGACATTTTGCATTAGTCCAGGCATGTGATTGACGCACTCCATCTTGGTGAAGTAGGCATCCATCTAGTGATACGAGAAAATGATTTTCAAACACTTGCAGACCTGATGTGTATCTGATATCCACCTTTGCCCGAACATTGCCTGTCAGGATTGTCCAAATAAACAGTGCAATCACTCTTAGCCGGCAGCCAACTTTCATTTCAATGGATCCCTTAGACTGAACTGATACACATTCTCCCAAAATTATACCTCATGCCCAACCTTTTGTGATTCCAAGTTCTATAGCAAATTGACTTTTGATTTAGTTTTAAACGCCCAAAATTAAAAAAAAAAAATACATTTTAATTACTGTCTTCATTAGTTGATCCAGTGTTTGTTGCTCTACCTATTTTATGCCCATATTACATGGGGTTTCCAATGGAATGAATGAACTTATTCACAACTAAAACTGCTTGCTGTCATGGCAGATGGCGACGTTTGTATTCGTTTTTACGAGTAAGCCCCCATAAGCCGTGTATCGCAATCCACGAAGAATCCCTGTGTCCCCAGGCTGATAAGAGCTGTGTACTTTATTTTGTGGGTAAATTAATATATGATATCATGACCATAGCTGATAAAACATACATCTGCTGCACTCCTATTAGGTATTGTATGGACGATAAAAAAGATAGCTAGAACTGATGGTTATCTAAGATTTTTATGTGGGGTGTAAATCAGTATGTAATAAAACTTTACGGCCTGAAGAAACTTTTTAAGCAGTGGCTGGACTTTCAAGTGGACCAAGCGGAAAAAAGCCAAAGATTCCAGGCAGAAACTCAGACCACCTCCCGAGGAGCACTCCTGCATGACGCGCGATAAGAAAGAATGCAATTTAGATATCTGTAGACACTCACACATGCGGTTGATCAATTTTGAATTTATTTGTCGACGGTCTATTACGTTCTTGGAATAAATCTTCCACGCGTTACGGTACGCGCACCGATTCCGTCGTTGTGCAAGTACTCAACCACAGATCGGAATGAGCCAAACGGCACGAAAGTGGGAAATTCCTCTTCATCCACATACATTTTGTCCATCGTATAGTTAAAGTTCTGCAGGATGATGTGATTACTTCAATTATTTTCATCGAAAACATAGCCACCTACAGCTCACCGCTTTAAAGGGACAGCTCAGGTTCGAATGCTTTTTGAGACCCTTTGCGTACATGCTAAACAAGCGATTTCTGTGACGATCTCCGAGGAAGAGACAGGCGTCCACTTGAACATCGTATAGTCTCATTTTCTTACTATTCTCCTTCGCAAAATCCAATGTGGCATGGGCACCCACCGAGTCTACGGTACGCTTCAACACCATCTGAGAGTCAACGTAGCTCCGATTGTTGATCTGGGAGATTTGAAACTCGAACGTTTCGATAAAGTCTGGGTCACACGACGACACGATGATCTCATCGAGGACAAAGCGAAAATTACGCTCTGTCCGCACATCCTTTGACATGGAGAGTAGAAAGAACCAGCAGATCCAAAACACAGTGCCCATGGCTAAGGGTAGGAATGTACTCGTGAGGTGCTTGCTATATATCTGTATTTATTTGCAAATTCAGGCGCCCATGAGATCATTATTCATATGGTCGTCTGGCGTCCATTTGAATAAATGCATGAATTAAAAAAGTCTGAAAATGTATTTAATATTAATTGAATATTTATTTTATTTTGTTTTTACAAAAAGCATTTGTGTATTATTATAAATGAGAGCAGACTGCAGAGTCAACAAAATGGTTGGCTGGTTCCCCTGCCTCGCACGCTCTCCTCCCCCTAGCGGAGGTCATACACCCAGAGAAAAGAGTCCTGACATTTTAATATTCAATATTATTTTGTGAATTTAAAATCTGTCCATCAAAGGACAATATTTACATGTTCATATCAAACATACCTGAGAATATATTTATATGACAATATGTATTTGATTAGAAATATATTTAATATTTAAAATAATTATATTTCATATTTCAATTGAATATTTTCCCATTTATGTTAAATATATTTCCTACAAATTGAATACATTATGTTTTATTCTAAAATTTGTTATATTTTAGCTGAAAAAGGCTCCGTATTAAAAATACTATTTGATACACTTATGATTAAATCAAATAGAATTTTATTTAATTTCATTTTATATATTTAAAAACTGAATACATATTTAATTTTAATATATGTTTATTTTTTTTCTCTAAGTGTATGTATGAATGTATTTTTCATTTGGAAGAAAAATGTATATGAAGCTCAGGCATACTACTCTTCAATTGAATACAGAATTAACATAAATCATCAGAATATACAGGTACATAAAGAAACAAAATTTGGATCTATCCTAGTGTCGCGTCTCGTGTGCCGTGACAAGTGCACTCATTCCTTGATTGGTTTATAGCTCGAAATGAGCCTTACGGTAAGAAAGACGGAAACTCCAGCTCATCAAAGAACATTTTGCTCAGCGTAGAAGTAAACTTCTGCAGAAGATGATGGTGTGATAATTAAATCTAAGATTCCAGCTTTTTAGCACTTACCGCTTCGATCGGACAGCCTAGATTGGAGTGTTTCCTAATACCTTTTGCGTAAATGTTAAACAATCGAATCTCAGCTCCAGTTCCCAGGAATAAACAAGCCTCAAGTTGTATATTATACTTGATACTTGACTTTCTGTTTGTTTGGCTTTCAAAGCTGTAGAGTATGACGTACAATCCACTCTTTGAGATTATGCGTGAATAACAAATGAGCGTCGACGAAGCTCCGATTATTCATTTGGGACAGTTGACACTCGAGTTTTTCACGCTGATCTCAACAAAAACAAAACCACAGTTTCGTTCCTCTATTCTGCCAACAGATCCAACACTGATGTATTATACAGATTAAAGAGCTCATTGGAGTAAAAAATCATTTAAATATTTATATAATTAGTTGATTGGATGGCTCGATATTTGGGGGAATTACATTTGCATTTGTGCCATTTAGTAAAAACACTGGTCCCACATGGGTCGTAAATTGTTTGCCCGATATTCAAAGATGAAATGGGTAGGACAGGGGTATCTACAGGTAAGTGTTGAGGCCCGTGTGCCTTCAATCAGACTCTACCTAATGCAGATGGCTCTCGAAAACCATTATTTGTGGAGACAAGGTAAAACTGGCGTACTTTTATAGTTGAATCCATTTTAAAGGTAAGAAATCCTTTTCCACAGATTGTATTTGGCATTTATTATGAAACTTTTCGTTCAGCATCGGAACTCAAAGTCTGGGTACAATTTTTCCGCGGATTTTGATACGCGCACTCAATTTCTGTTTGGTTGAGTATTCGATCAGGGCCCGAAAGACGCCCAGCGGTATGAAGGAGGGTAATTCCTGTTCATCGAAATAAAGTTGCTTAAACGTGTAGGTAAAGTTCTGCAGAAAGTGTTTGGAATAACAATGGAAATAGTTGTTTAAAATGTTGTTATCTGACACCACTCACCGCTTTAAAGGGGCAACTCAGGTTGGAATATTTTCTTAGGGCCTTGGCGAAGATGTTAAACAATCGATTCTTATGGGACATATCGAGGAAGAGACACGCATCCAATCGTACATCGTATAGCCTCATTTTTGTATTGCTGCTTTTCCAAAAATCCAGAGCGGTACGTGCAGACATATCCTTAAAATTACGTTTGAATATTATTTGGGCATCTACGTAGCTCCGATTATTCCTCTGGGACAACTGAACCTCCAACTTTTCCATCAAGTCCGGATCTCGGTCCGACACGATGATGTCATCGAGAACTAGACGAAAGTTGCGGGGCTCTGTCCTCACGCCATTTATTATGAGAAACCAGCAGATCCAAAGCACAGCGATCATGGCTGATGTTAAGAACAGAATGCTAATTGTGTCCGCATTAACTCTCTCCTGTGATTTGCAATTGCAGGGCCACAAGATCGTTTGTTATTAGGAAATAATCTACTGAAGAGCGTCCAATTGATTCAACAATTAGATACACTAGTATTTTCAAATAAATGTTTTTATAATTAGTCAATTTTCTGCTTCCAAATTTCGATTGATTTATCAAAGAAATGGCAGGTATACATTTGTATACCCTTGCAGAGAGCTTATTTAAAAAGAGAGCTACTAAAAAATGTACGCTGCAGAAGATCTCTCACTCTCTCTCTCTCAGTGTGGCTTAGCAGTAAATGGTAAACATGTCGCTGGCGGAGCGAGTGATATGCCTCAGAGAAATAAAAGAAATATATATTCTATACTCTCGTTTTATAATCGGTTACATTTCGATTGCATAACATGAATGGTTTTTAGATTAAAATATACATTTATTTCCAATGTTGAATCTAGTTCTTGGCCGTAAATTTCCCGGACGTAACGATGCGCGCACCCAATTGTTGCTGGGTAAAGTATTCGGTAATCGTACGGAATGTACCAACAGGAATAAACGATGGTAGATCCTGTGTCTCCAATTGCCAATTGGTAAACGTGTAGCTGTAGTTCTGTGATAAACAAATATTAATCCAATATGAATCGCACTTTTGAATGACGTTTACTCACCGCCTTGAAGGGACAAATGAGATTGGCTTTCGTATGCTTTTTAAAACTTTTAACGTAAATATTGAACAGCCGATTCTTGTGGGCAGTTCGCAGCAGGAGACATGCATCCAGTCGAACGTCGTAAATCTTCATTTTCTGATTGTTTGGCTTCCAAAAATCCATGGCAGTACGTACACTTATCTCGGAGACATTTCGCTTGAGCATAAACCCACCGTTCACGTAGCTCCGATTGTCGATGTGGAACAGCTCGCACTCGACCTTTTCAAACAAATCTGGCATCCAGTACTTTATGACGAATTCGTCAAAGTAGACTGACATTTCCCCAGAAATGACTGGCTTCATGAGGCTGATGACCGATGAGCTGATGATGATCCAAAACAAAGTGTTCATGGCTAACGCTTATGCTGTAATGCTCGTTAAAGCCAACAAAGTCATCTGAAAAACGTATTATTTTTATAATTATTTATTTATTCTATTAGTCGATAGATAGTTATTTATATAGAATGATTAGATGATTGGAATTATCCAAGCGGAATGATATATAGGGACAATGTTGGTTCTGAGACAGATGTATCAGAATATTGGAGGCAGATAAATATAAAATTAAACAAAAGTAGGTCATTCGGTGGAAATATAAACACAACTAACAGTCTTGGTAACTCTCGTTCTCTCCATGATTTCCCCAAATGCAAGCCGTACCCCCGAAACGAACTGTATCTGGAAGCGAGGCGTGGCCTGAGCTATAAAACTCCCAAAATTTATGTATAATAGAGAGAAAATGGAAACAGCTAGTGCCCCAGCTAAGAATTTCCAATGCTGCCCAGCCAAGCTGTAAATTTTCACATTACTTAAGCGCTTTTTTCAATTTCGTATTAAAAAGTTTTCGCCTTTTTTCATTCTTTTGTCTTTGGTCCACACAGAGAACAGACAACAGACGCCAAAAGGAAATTCCGAATTCGTTTTATCAAAGATTTCAACAGAACGCATTGCATTTTGTGATTCGGAAAATAAATAAGGAAAGAAGGCCTAATTTATAAGACCAAACTATTAGAGAAAAACCTGCATTCAAAATGTATATAATTCTCAATATATCTTAATCAAAAGCATTGCGCGGCGTGTTTCTAAGTTCCTGATACCGTCGATAAAGCTATTGATTTTGCATCTCTCCAGAAAGTCGGTTGAGACTCGCTCTATGTCTGTCTATTTATGGCCTTATCATTATTTAAGTAAATGCAAGAGGCCTTCCCTCTGGGATCCACTATGTCTCCTGGCCCTGCAAATGATCTGGCAGTTCAACCCAGTTCCCAGAGGAACTCTCCTCCACCGCCTCCACCTCCAGAGAAGATCATCCTTCTCCCCAGTCCAATGTGCGTACCTTGATGACAAATTGCATCCTCTGCTAGCAACTGACTACCCAACTTATTAGATTGATGAAAGGCTCAAGTCTTCTTATAATCAATGTACATATGTGTAGAGCTCAGTTAGTAGTCTTTGGTAGTATTTCAAACTCGAGATTTAAGCGATCATCTCACTTGGTTTTTTTCCAGTTTATTGAGTTGACAGCAATGAGCAAACAGGCATGCCAGCAAACTGTTGGGGCTAGGACTGGTAATAATTCTATACAGTGACATCAGGCCCTACTCAATCGTCCATTCAGTTGCATGTGAGCCAGAGGCTTTGACTGGTGCTGAAAAACGAGCTGCATGCGGAAGATGCATTGCGGTAGGAGTTCGGGCAGGACTTTTTCGTTCAAATAGGCGCGGGTCAGGGTGTAGTTGAAGTTCTGTCGAAGAGTTCGTAATGCAGAAACTTGAATACATATCCTGAAGGTTAACTTACCGCCTTAATGGGACATGCGGGTCTCGTATTGACAAATGAGGCATAACTGTTGTAGAATACTCTGACAAATCGATTCTTGTACCCATTACTGATCATTTGACAGACATTCAATTTGACATCGAAGAGCCGCACCTCCGGCAGTCGAGGACGACTGATGTTCATTGATGACCGCATCGTGATTTCGTTTACTGTTTTGTTGAAAATCAAGTGTCCCGATAGATAGCTGCGGTTCTGCTCCTGCTCGACGTAGGCACTTTGAGAGACGATTATCCCGGGATCATCGACAGCGAAGCTGAACAGATCCACCTGCAGCACATAGGAGGCAAGGCAGCAGCCGAAATATCCCCCGACAGCGAGTAGATATAGACGAAGAAGCACCATCTGTTCCACTTGATAACTGGCTGGCTGCACTGACAGAACTACGATTAAAATGGAGGGGACCGTGCGACTCCATTGTGCCCGGCAATTATCCGCTGCGATGGCGGAGGCAGGCCCTAATGGCTTTTTAAATGGTGTCGTCTGGTCCAAATTGCCACAATCTCTCAATATGTCAACAATACGTATTCATACTCGTGTACTCGTATACATACATTCATAATTTCTGCCAGCTTGTTTTTGTAAATTTTTTTTGGGTCTTTGAGGCGCTTTCAAAAAATACATTCGTATGCACTAAAGTAAAATGAAAATGTTTCACGTGTGGCAGGATTGAGAGTTGAGAAAGCGGCTAAGTACATACAAATGAAAAAGGGTACAGAAAAAAAGAAAAACCTAAAAGAGAAATGAAAACGAGTAAAAAGGGAAAAGAAAGCAAAAGGAAATGGTATATCAATGAGGGTACTGACGGTGATTGTACCCTGTTTTCTGAAACTACAAGAGAATAAAATAACATTAGCTATAATCATATATGGAGGATGGATAGTGCCCCGCTTCGTTCGACCAATAACTAAAATACAAAGTATAATACATGAATAGAGCTCAAAGACTGTAAAAAGATTAAATGATGTTCAAAAGAGAACACCTTTAAAACTCTTATGTAGAGTACTATTGTGTCTAGTATACCTTATGGCATACCCCTTCTAAAGTACAGAAAACGCAACCCAAAGGATGTCAACAGAAATGTTAATAACACCAGTGCACCGCCAACGCAATCGCCATTGCCTTTGCCTTTGCCAAGTGCTGCTCCCAGCCAGGTTGGGGATGGGGAACGCAGCTGTGAATAAGGATAAGGATAAGGATGAGTAGGAGCTGAGTATGAGGATGTGCCTGGTGCCTGGTGCCCACTGAGGCAAAAACAGTGGCCGTAAAACAGAAAATGCAAAGCGCAGCAGCCGCAGCAGCCAGTAAAGTGAAGAAGCAGCCCGTCTGACGGCCCAGTCGAGTGTAGTTCAAACATCACACCTACCGTTGAGCGTCTACCGTCTGGGATCTGGGATCTGGAGGGTCTAGAGTCTCGTCTGCAGATGGAGCTGTGGTCCATATTATGTAAACATTTGCAGGGTTTCAATTTTTTTTGTAGCCTGTCTTCTTCCTGCCCCTCCTCTTTGATTCACACTGGGGCTGTGCCGTGGGGGCCACAATTTGTTTTGTAGCCGGCTTTTGTCGGATTCCCCGGGCACCAACGCACTCAATCGAATACGTGTGGGGGTTTTAGCCCGACAAGTCAGAGATGAACTGTTTTTGCCTTTAATTCTTGGTGGTATTTTGCGCCAGTGGAAACAGTCGAAAGCCCTCAACAAGAATCAACAACTTGATGAAATATTAATTCGATTGAATGGATTTTCATCACGTGCAATTATTTTGAAAAAGTGAAAAACAAACTAATTTTCGCATTTTCAAATAGCAATTTCCCTAAGTGACCAATTTGTTTGAATGCAATTAAAACCACCGAGGACTCGTACGAGTAGGTCCACCGCCTTTCCGACATTTCCATTTGCATGACAAAGTCGTTGGTTCTTCTAACGCGTTAACCATCGTACTGAAAACTTTTGTTGCGTTGCACTTTAAATATACATATCGCCATATTTGTTATGCAAATTTGTGCAATTTTCATTCATTCGCCCCCCTCCGCCCCGCCCGCCACATGCGGATTGAGAAAAGCAGAGCAGGCAGCCCTAATTAGGCTTTTGTGAGCGTGTGAGGGCTCATTTCATATGCAAATTGCAGTCGATTGGTTTCGCATTACATAATTAATAATTCAATGAGAATGCATGTCAATCACACGCACGAGTACAGCCGCAGCCACAGCCACAGCCACACCCACACCCACACCCATCTAGTAACGAGGAGACGGCAGAGACCACCACTTAGAGGACCTGGCAAATTGTGGTTCTGTGGTTCTCATACACCGAATAGTTTTACCAACTGCTGGGTGTGAATATTCACAAGTACGGGCTACTCGGAGCACCTCTTGCCGCAGTTTCCATGGGTCTACTGAATTATTACTGGACCTACCATAACATTTTCCATACCTTGGGGGTATACTTATAGAAATTTCAGTATATGGCACATTTGCAATAGTTTCGACAGGTCAGGACAGAGGTATACTTATGGAAATTGCTGCCTTTCTGCACAAGAATAGGTCATCCCGGTGTCCTGCCAGCGAATATAATATGTACTTGTAATATATGTATTTGTCCCACAAGTACGTTTCCGATCCAAACTGAGTGAATGATCCAACAGTTTGGTTGCTATTTGTGTCCCCAATTTGTTGACTTCTCCTCAAAATAAAACCTACACGTATACAATGGTCTTTGGAATCTGGAAATTGTGTGTGGGCGCATCTATAAATAGGGGCGCAGCCTCAAGGCCTATTATTTTTTGTGCAATCAATAAATTTTACAGTCGAGTGCACAGGTGCTGCCGCATTTGGTAGGCACTGGAGGGGCAACAGCTGAACAGCCTTATGGCACTTTGGAGCCATTGGAGCCTCATTGGAAGATGTGGCACCGACTCCTCCTGCAATCCTTTAATTTGTTTCATTTGTGATTTCGTTTAAGCCACGAATTTTCGGCTGCTTCTTAAGCATATTACAGAAGTTGCACCGCGCCTCTCCCCCTAGATCTCAAGTGGCCCCCTCATGTCAGCAAACACTCGTTAAAAATCACTTAAAATTCCATCATCATAAATTTGTCAAAAATTGCACACTCGTTCGCTTCACGATGTGCGCTCGAAGCTCGAAGCTCAGAGCGGCAGCCTTAAAGTGTCGACATTAATGCCGTCTTTTGTCTACTATCCACAGTTCCGTTTCCCCAGCCCCCAGGGGGGTTCTGGTATATGTTTTTCACTTCAACTTCATTTTCCGCAGACGAATGTCTTAGTTTGCCAAATTGTTTCTGTGGAAAATCGTCATTTACAAAATGCCATTTCAAGGTCACAGAGAACTTTATTTCGTTGTTTTTAGCACATGTTTCACAACAATTTTTGTTCCATTTGTTCGGTCATTGGAACTTCAAGATACCGTCAAATGAATCAATCGTGACTCAATCTTTAATTTCTACCGTCACTTCTGACTTTCTTAATCACTATACTGTCGTAATAAAAACTTTATAGATAGGAGAAATCAAAAATCTGAGTACATAAGCTCATAATTACTTACTTTTCAGTCGCCTATATTGACTGATGGCACTTCAATATTTGTGTAGATTATGATATTTTTCAATTAAATATTAGGTATTTTATTGACTGATTGAGAGATAATTTCTGTGGGGGATCTACATATCAGATGGCCTTCACAAATGGTACCTTGCAAGGCGTGAAAATCTCTCTTAGAACTAGTAGTAGAGAGAAAACTCGCTCTGTCCTGCTAAGCCACACTGTGAAACTTAGGGAAAATTGATTTTTTAAACAGAACTGCGATATTCCAAGCATTTTAAATTGGTGTGAGCGACTCCATAGTCAGGAGCTTGTTCGGTGGATATTTTCCCACTCAAAATTGTATAAATAAATGTATATGATTTTCTTATGGTAAATGGTTTGGCTTAATGGCTGCCTAGTCGGTGTTTTCAGCACACACTGATTTGTTAGAGGAAGCTTAAATGACGCACAATCGAAATGCAAGTGCCTGGGCCACACTTTGTGCATTTTAAACGTGGATCTCTTAGCGGAGCCCTCCAGTGTATGACCCTCTAAAAGATCTTGCGTATGAGTTTTGGAATATAGCGTATCAAGGCACAGGCCACGGCAAATAACAAAATATTCCCCTTAACCTCCTTTTTGGCCAGCGCTTCGATGTCACGCATATCGGGGTGCAAATCGCGCATCATCTTGATTGTAGAACTGCAGAATATTTGAAGGTTCGTCAACATTCACAATGATATTTTTTTAGTTTAACTTACGTTTAAAGTTTTATTTGAATTCAATTTTAGTTAGTTAGTTACCGGAGCTGTTTGGTTTCCGACTGTCGAGAAACTTTGACGCGTAAAACAGGGCTGCGTTAAAATACTATTTCCACCAAATTGCAAAACAGTGTTTTCTACTAAATTTACTATGGAAATTGTCCAAGAATGATTTCTTTTGATTTTTTTGGTATTAAAATAGACGCACTATGAAGAAAATGATTTAGCTTATTCCCATTTTTCTGCAACTTGTGTGGTCACACTGGTGTGCAGTGAACAGCTGACTGGCAGAATCTATTCTATGTAAATAAATATGTAAATTTATGTATATTTGCCTGAAATAATTAAAAAGTCTTTTGACCATGCTGCGCATACGAATTAGGTTTGCTGAGAAGAGCTTCCGAACTTTGTCTTTGGTTCGCGTCCGCTCCACATCCTTGCCTGGCCCTCCCGAATCGCGTAGCCTCCGAGAACCTATTTTTCTCTGAACAGGGCCATCTAATAAACAGTTCGGTAACGAGGATTTGGCTTGTCTATGCAGCCATCCACAACACATGCCACAGACAGTTGTCATGGGTTCGAGCGAATGCAACAAAGGCGCTAGGAAATGGACACCTGGCACTGTCCTGTTTCCTATTTGTTAAGATGGTTCACACAATTCTTCTATTAGGTAAAAAAAGCTGTATAAGTAGCAATAAGAATTTAATCCATTAAATTTAGTTAAGATACAAATAATTCATTCAAAGAAATAAGAAAAGAAAAGAAAAGGAACAAGCCGTTAGCTACTTCGAACAGTCTCCAAGTCGCTCGATCGTCTAGGGAATATTGTTATATTGTAATATTGGTGTTTTTAATGGCTTTGAGCACCACTTCATTTAAGACGTCCTTGCGTCCACTTATTGGATGCACAATGCGAATGAAACGCACACGCCGGCTCCTGAAACGGATATCCTGCCGGGGCTCGGAGGCTGTAAGTTTGATATTTCCGACGCCATCCCAGTTGGTCATGTCACAAGAGATCTCCACGGTGCAGTTGAGCGTGATGTTTTTTTGAGTACTTTCGACTAAAATGTTATTGATTATGCACCAGAACGGCATCTTGATTACGGTCTCATTATTGTTGACCATGCAACAAGTCTGCCAATCGTTTGAGGCCAGGTCTAGGCCTGGACAAACCCCGGTACGGAATTCCAGATCCAACGGACTGAGAGCTTTCTCGATGGCGTCGAGTATTGTCTCCGGGTCGAAGATACCAGAGGGACGCACCACAAGCATCAGGTCTCGGACAGAAATCAGAGGGAGACGTACGAGCGAGATCACCGACTTGATGTCCACGCAAGGATTGTGGCGACTCCATTTGCACACCGCTTCAAAGATATTCCCTTCGTAGGCAAGGAAAGTGTCCCGTTGCAGGACTTCCTCCAGCAATTCCTTGGACAGCGTTTGGAAGGAGTCGTGCTCTAGCAGTAAGTATCCTTTTTTGCACATGAAATCTAGGCATTTCGTGGCCAGCTCTACAAGATTGAATACGCGCGCAGTATCCAGTATTGTGCAGACGTTGCTGACGGCCAGATTCTTCTGCAGGTGACTGTCTATGTTCACCTCGACTTCCACCAAGCCATACATATTGGCCAAACCGAGCACTTTGAAGATTTCATCCACCTCCAGTGTGGATAGTGGCAGAGTGCCAGTGTAAAGGAAGCGCAGGATTACTTTGAATGCCTCCAGCGGCGCCTCCAGCCAAATCTGATCATCTGACTCGCACATGCCACCGGAGAGCAGTTCACGGAAGTACTGACTGCGACATATTAGAATCATGCGGTGCGCCGGCAGGCGCTGATCCTCCACAATAAACGCTACGTCCGAGTAGAGCTCGTTCATGAAGAGACTGTTCAAATCAAGAGCCAACAATATGTCGCCCAAGTTACGGTCGAAGGGGACTGAAGAGAGTGCGCGTCTATTCATATTCGTTACTAGATTTCTCTGTGTGTTTGGACAGTGTGTTTTATTGATTTATCTTTCCGTATTCCGTATATTCTGTTACTTACTTACTTTTTCCCTCAGAAATTAATTTTTGTAAGCACAATTTAATGTCACTCTTTTCAATGTTAACTTGGCTGTGATAAAATATATCGATTGATCTTATCGATGCATTGAATAGACTGCGATATTATGTGCATGCATGTTAATAAATATTTATTTTGTTTTAATCGCTTACTATTTTGTCAACAATTGCTGCTGTTTATAAATTCCGTAAAAATTGTTGCTGTTTGCATTAAACTTTTTTATATTTTTGACTGCTTTTATTTTTTGTAATTTAATGTAGTTGTATGTCTCCATCCCTCAGGGCTGCAATAGCACGTTTATTTCAGGGACTCTGCCCTTAAAAGTTAAGGAGATCATTCGAGTTCCTGTTTTGGCCAGTCTGGCCAGATGAATTTCCGCAGCATTAGAGCTGGAAACACACGAGAGTGGTAGACCTGGCTGTCACACCCATGCATAAACTCGTAACTACAATATGAGGATATCTGTGAAACTCTGTACATGGCCCAACTCTTGCCAAATGGCCCAAACCCCAGAAACTTCTTCAAGACAAATGAGTTTTTCTTTAAGACCGTTCACCGTCTGAGTTTTCTTATGACAACCTTTAGTTTATTACTTTTGGTTTATGTTTTCGTCAGTTGGCCAAATGTTTTAGTTGTACGTAGCGGCAGCAGTGGCAACAGCAGGGGGCACCTCCCATCCACAGCTTTTTGTGGCAAGGTCTTTCCCTAGCTCCATGGCTCCATGGCGACTTCAATTTTTGGCAACAAAATGCAGTCAAAAGTTGCTGCAACAGCACAAAAAAAAATAAAGAAATAACACCAAAGAAAATCCGCCCAAGGCAAAAAGCAATAACAAAATATTATTATCAAAATCATTCATCATGTGGCTGCAGGCAATAAATTTTCGGCTTCTTGCTGCGAAATGTAGCAACAACAAAAGAGGGAAGAACTACAATTATTGTGGTGGTAGTAGTACACGTACTAGTGGTAGCTACGGCAGCTAACTGTTAATAAATCGCAGTTACAGATATCAGCCAACAGTTAGCACAGTTCGCAACAGCGGCAGTGGCAGTGGCAGCGGCAGCTGGTGCGGCGCCACAGACTGCCCAGAGTGGGGTTTCCTTCCAAACGCGGACGCATAAAAGTTCGGGGCCGTACCCCCGAAACGAACTTTAACTGGAAGCGAGGCGTGGCCAGCGCTATAAAGCATTAACATAAAACTCCCGAAATATATGTATAATAGAGAGAGAGAGAGAAGAAGGAAAATGGAAACAGCTAGTGCCCCATCTAAGAATTTCCAATGCTGCCCAGCCAAGCTGTAAATTTTCACATTACTTAAGCGCTTTCATCAATTTCGTATTAAAAAGTTTTCGCCTTTTTTCATTCCTTTGTCTTTGGTCCACACAGAGCACAGACAACAGACGCCAAAAGGAAATTCCGAACTCGTTTTATCAAAGATTTCAACAGAACGCAGTAGATTTTCTGATTCGGTAATTAAATACAGAGTTTTTAAGGCCATTATTATTAGAAATTATTAGAAACTCCAGCAACACTTGGCATTCAAAATGTTTATAAAATATCATAAAAAAATATACATTCTATACGATTTTTAGCATCATTTGAGTAAATTCAAGCGGGTTGGTATAGATAAAATTGAGGCCATAGAATATAAATATGTATATCCGCTGTCAGGAAACCACCAGCCACCTTTCAGTGCCAATTCCAGAGTCCAGTTCGGAATAGGACGGAGAGAAAGTGGAAGCGATCTGTGCACGCGGCAATCGTCGGAATCAGGGTTTCTTTGACATCATCTTTGAGCATCGAATGGGGCCGAGGATTGAAGAAATCCTAGACGATCTTCACAGGCTGCGCATTGAAATCAAGGAAATCCGAAACTCCGTTTTTTTGTTCACTTATTCATTAAAAAATATAAATTTTTTAGTGTTTTTGGCCTTATCATAATTTGAGAAAAAGTAAGCGAGATCTCGTAGTTATATTTCTGCCAAGAACCCCAAATAATGCCGTAATCGCCACTTGTTCCACTTTTACCGTCTTCATAATATTTTCCATTAAGAAAACTGTAATAAGAAGAAAAAATTAACATACAAAATTCGTAATATGAGTAGCGTTAATTCAGCATAGAATATGTGTACCTTTGTGCGCAATAAGAAAACCACCAACCGCCTTCATGATGTTTCGCGCAATTATTTTTCTCACTAGTGTCATTATCCCGGTCCAAAGTGGAAAACTTCATGTTTAGGTGATAATTCAGTGAATCGCCGGCTGTTCCTGAATATTTTCCCAACGATTTCAGTTTGTAGTCTTCCTCTTCGCTTCCTATTTTAAAATCGTCGTATCGAGCATAGCTGGTGCTTCCATTAACATGCTGGAGTTGGATGTACAGCTCGTGAGGCTGGAGCAGGGTCATTTGATGGATTTTTTCCAGTCCCAAGAAGAAGTTTTCCCGTAGGTCTCCGAACCCAAGTTTGTAGTCGATCCAGTTTCGATTAAAGTCTACAAGGCCGTTGACTCGTCTCTGGATGACCGTCCAGCCAGATCCGGACACACTGGAATTGCAGGGCACAACGAATGGATCTATTCCGGGCAAACTTATGGTATGGATTTTAGTGGAATTTGTGAATGGCAGACAACTGCTTGCCTCCGAAATGCCTTTCAGCTTTTGTTTGAGGGAATTCGCTTGATCCTCCAGTTCTCTGATTGATTTATCCTTTGATTGAATTTGGACCTCTCTAGATTGAGTTTGCATTTCCATTTTTGAGATCTGGTCTTTCTTGTCAAAGATTTCGGCCTCACGATCTTTAAAATCTTTCTCAATTTTCAAAATTTTGATGGCTTTCAGGTGCAATTCAGTTTCCTTATCTTTCAGCTGTTGATACGAGCTCTTAATTTTGGCATCCGTCTGTTGTTTAAGATGCTCCATCTGTTTCAGCATCTCGTTTACCTTAAGTTGCACCTTGAGATCCTCCATCTGTTTACTTGCCTGAGTTTCCATTGACTTGGCAATCTCAAGCTTGCTTTCCAATTGGGCGATGTAAACATCTTTCTTTCGGATTTCATCCTTGAGGTCGTTAATCGATGCATCCTTCCCCTGGCATAGGGCCGCGTACCGGAGTAGCGGCTTCACAACCGGATAGCAAATGGCGCCACACCGCTCATCGTCCTCATCGCGGGTCACCTCACAGTGCTGGAAACGGAATACCCAACCAATTAGTTCATTCAATTGCAATTTCCCAATGCACTGAGTTCTCACAGCACTCCTCTCGAAGCTATTTTCCGTTGATAGAGTCACGTCTGCTTCTACTTGCAGGAAGAGAAGCACCAGAATCCAATATATTTGCATGACTATTCCCGTTGAAAGACTTGAATCAGACTGAATGCAGGATGAGGGGCTCAAGCCTTCTTATATATCAATTCTTATCATCCCAAGTCATAAATCAGGCTTGCATTGTTTTCGTTGTTTCATATTGTTTTCGACATAACAATTAGAGCAAATCATATATATTTACATACATTGCATTGTGTATATTATCATGCATTTACGCGTAGATCAGAGTTGACTTCGAATGGCATCCTTATGTGAATTTTCAGATCCTGTTCAAGCTTATTGCTGATAATAGAATGACACCATACTCAGTATTATGTACTGTCAATCTATGTGCAGGTTCTTATCAACGAACCTTTTATTATTTATTTATTTGATTTATAATCTTTCGTGAATTTCAACCTGAGGATTTTAATCGATCTACCTAAAGATCTCAGGCCCGCCTTATCTGTTTACAGTCGCGGAAATGCTTAACACCGGATAAGTGTTGTAGTCTTCCTTTCTCGCTCTCTCTTTCTCTCTCCAGTATGGCGCCCCCTGGCGGAGTGAGCGAGATGTAACGGCCGGATGGTACTGCGTTGGTGGGCAGAGAGCGAGAGAGCTGTATAGAAGTACTTAGAATACAGTTCATATATTTAAAAGTTACAAAAATAAATCATCAGCATTCAAACCGGGTAGAATGGTGTCGCGGGATGTGTACGTGTCAGGACTGGTTTAACGAGCTAAAATTAAATGTATTTGCAGTAGAATAGTAAACCCTAATGGATACTTATATGCAAAACATGTTCGTAAAAGCCAAGCTCATTTATAGTATAAGAATTATATTTTATTACAAGAAAAATATTGCGTAATAAACAATTGAGCAATAAACAAGAAAATACTTCATTTTATCTAAATTGTATAATATAAAAAACATGAAATCCATATTCCTTCCACATTTAAATGCATAAACTAGTATATTAGTCATGACTTTATTCGGTGGGCGACTTTAAGAGTAATTTGAAACTCCAAAAACCATTTCTGAAAACAATCAAAATAGAGATATGTTCAAAAATTGTATTCTGTATGTTTGGATGATCTTTTCCTCCCTGCCTTGGACTGGTCTAAGCTTTGTAAAAGTCGACAAAAGATAAACCAGGAAGCAACCCGTTTTTGAAAACTCATATACACATGACACAAACGGTAGATAGAAATTAAAATTCACCTGAACACACGGCAAACACAATTCATACTCATGATGCAGTCCCAGGATGAGAGTTTAGGGGATGGAGGCTCCACCGTGCTCCCACAGACTGAGAATACATCAGAGGATCCAAGTGTTGGGGCTGAACAGACCATAGACCATAGTGCACCCCTTTATTTGGACCATGAACAGATCAGCAAACGCTTTACGGAACTGTTACACCTTTTCGATAGCTGCGCAAAGATCATGGACGGAGAACGGAATCGTCAGGGCCATGGTATGAGTGAGAAAAGTGAGCCATTCAATGATCCCTAATCTATAGTCCATTTACCAAAGATCATGATGAGGGGCTCAAGGTTTCGCCGGAAACTGTGACGGACAGCACTATAAAGGCTGCCACCAGCGAGGTGAGCATACAAACGTCTTGGTCCCTGCTGGAACAGCAGAAGAAGGACTGCCGAACAGTTGAGGAAGGATTGTCTGTGTCCGCCAAGGAACCGCCCAGCCAGGTTCAGCAGCATACCATCCACATCGAGGTGGAAAGGGTGCCATCGGAGACAGAAATGCAACGGGCGCCACTGCGCCAGAGATTTGCCAACATTTTAGTGCAAACCTTGGACGCAATAATCGGCTGCATGTTCATGGTCGGCGGCAACATCACCTACTTGATGCTGCTGAGTGTCCTGTGCATTTGGTGCTACTATCGGTGACCAGGGCAATAAAATGCACTCTTCTTTTCCTTTTCTAAAAGACTCCGGAGTTATTAGTTTTGAATAGAATACATTCATTGCAGTACAGTCGGGGATGTCCAGCAAGTGCTCGCCTCGTATCAATAATCTATCAGTCTTGTGTTTCGTTTCCTCCGTCTTTTGCAGTTCCTCTTCGGAGTACATTTTGCAAATTGCATTTCATTCTTCTACTTCCTCTTTGCCCATTGTCATTTGTAATCATCATTATCGTCATCATCCTCATAATCAATTCCCTTGTCATTCGAGAGCTGAATGTAATGCAGTGCAGTGCAGTGCAGTGTAGTGCCCTTCCCCAGCCCGCAGTCCCTCTGCCCATCCCCATCTTCAGGTTGTCGCTCCTCGTTATTCTCTTTGCCACTTGTTTGATAAATAATTGTCCGTCGTTTAGGTAGGTACATAAACATGCAAAGTTAAGAGCATATTGTATATGGCCCCGTGCCCCCAGAGCCCCTCGCCAGCTTGCGACCACATGCCGTGTGCTGTATGCTGTGTATCTCTCCGAGAATGGCTTGGCTAACGGCTCTTGGAAACCGCATGGCTAAGCCTCTCTGCTGGGCCCCTGACCACATCATCAAATGCAAAATAGTTCGAAATGGTAAATGGTAAATGGAAAATGGGAAATGGGAAATACGAATTGCAGAACCAGAAGCAAAAGCAGCAGCAGCGTAATTGCCACCGCACCAGACCCAAAGCTGAAACCAATAAACCAGCACACGTCGATTAGTTGCACATGAATGCGGCAACATGGGCAACGGCGGCAACGTCGGCGGTGGCGGTGGCATGGTCAGGTGATGGGGATGGGGATGGGGATGCAGATGGGGTTATGCGATGGGCGAAGCTTAGCTGCTGGGGCATCCGGAGATCTGGTGGGGTAAATGCAGACAATCCAAGACAGGCAGTCACACGACGTTGAGCTCATTTAAGCCATGTCTTAAGAAGCTTTTGGCTAAAACATTTTCCTGCTCTCCTTGCCACAGTGGCACGGGGCACAACCACTGTGCAGGCACCAAGGAGGGTTTGAGTTTGACCCAAGTGGCCGGCCATAGGTGACCGACCAATTGGCAAAATGTTCGAACTATGCATGTCGCCTGCCCCCGGACTGAAGAGGAACCGCAACGGGACGTTGCCAGGCAACAGATTTCACATATTTGCGTAACCCAGCGGCCGCGTCAACCCTCTAACCAGCAATCGACTAACCAAACTAACCGGCGATTGCTCATTCGCCCGGAGAGGAGGAGTGGAGTGGAGTGGAGTGGAGCGAAGCGAACCGCCTTCACCGCATTCCAGGCGAGACGAGACGCGACGAGGAGAACGACCATGAATTTTGCATTTTCTGCTGTGGGTATTTTTAGCGGGGCTCTGCCGTTGGGCAGGCCTGTGATTCATCAAAAGAGCGGCGACAGCTGACAGGCCGACAGCTACGCATAGAAATGAATTATACAAAAACCAGATAGACAATGGGCAATAATGCCTTACGCCTTACGCCTTACGCCTCACCCTCCATCGCCACCCGCCTAGCCCCCAGGGGGAAACACCTGAGGCGTCGGCAACGACGAAGCGAATTGCCTACAGTCATTCTTTATTAGTTGAACCACCAAACCAGTTGACAAAAGGCAACGAACGCCGGTCAAAAGAACCAAATGAGAATCAAGATATAGCCGCTAAGCCAGACCGAACCTTGAATGCCCTCTGCTTCGAAATCCCTGAGCTTTTGGAATTTGAAATGGTTACACAATAAATTTAGAAATGCTGATAATTATTGGTATTACTCAAATGTACATTTATAAGAGTCCCCTGCATTAATTCAAATCATTTGTATATATTTTTGTAATTTTATTTGAGTTTTCCGATAAGACCTGTTCAAGGTCAGAACTAAATATACTATGAACTCGTATGTGTGTGTTTATTGGATCAAAGAAAGTCGATGTGAAAATACTCTATCCGTTAGGTCAGAAAAGTATTGAAAATCCCATTACTTAGATTGTATTTTATGGCATACCAAGTGATTATCGAACATGTTTAGATTGAGTCTAAAAAGAAAATGGCATTCTCAACAATCCCCCCGGTTACAAAACGACCACAGCACATAAAATGCACATCTGCTTCCGACCATAAGTTCTAATACATACATATGTATGTATATGCTACATTAATGTGTTGTACATATTTAATTATGTATGTATGTATGTATTTTTGTTTGTATACCAAGCCAACGTTTTGCAGATCGTTCAACTTAATTTCTGATAGTTTCAATAGAAAAGCTTTGCATAGCAACCCCGCCAAGCGTACATTGTATTATATGTAGGATGTATGCCCCGTCATGCCGATCAAGAAGCTTGTACATACACCCTTATGTATGTACACATGTACAGTGAAACCTACCACTGTTATATAATTATTGCTTGCGAGATGTCTACCGCTAAGAACTCTACAGGACAGTGGGAGTGTAAATAGATGCGAAGCCACGTGGGAGAACTTGGATTGGGAACCTCACAGATTCGTGCGTCAAGAGAACTTTCACTGTACACAGCATGTGCACAAGAGTTTGCAACATTCTGTTTAGGGTTTTTTTTTTGGCTTGCTGCCTTCTGGCATTTGCCTTCGCTCGAATGGTTTGCCAACATTATGACAAAGTTATGATACTCTTTCCTGGGAAAGCACATAAAAAAGTAGCAAAGCGAAGGCGAGACACAAAACAAAAGCCAAAAGCATGCAGAACAATACGAGCACGTATGCATGTACATATGCATGTATGTTTGTATGTACGCGCACCCCTCCCGACGCCCGATTACGTTGTCGCATAACGTTTGAAGATGACGCGCTGCTGCCAGTGCCAGACGTAGTGGCTCTGCCTTGCCCGTTGCGATATGGGTTGTAGGGTGGGGTAGTTGGGTGGGGGGTGTGTGGGAATCAGCTGAAAAGGTGCGGCGACATTGAACAAGCCAACGAACGGGCGAGCGTCGGGAGAGCAGCAGAGCAGCAGTGTTTGCTTCGCGTCGTTTACTCTTCTGATAACGTCGTCATCGTTGCGCTGAGGCAATGTTAATTTATGCCCCACACAAGCACGCCCAGTCATCACACGGACAGAACACGGAGAACGGACAACACGCACACACATTAACAGCAGAAGCAGCGGGAGAGGAATCCGATTCTTTTCAAACCCAAACTCTTTAAATTTGTTTTTACTGTTGTTGTTATACTCTGCGGTAAGAGTAAATTTTGTTTTATATAGAAGATGCTCTTATTTACATATGTAGATAATGGACAGATAGACGTGTTATAGTAATAGTAATAGTGTTCCTCAAACTTGTGTACTTCCAACTACTCGGCCGTTAAATTATGAAAATAAAGATCACTCTAAAAGGCACAGCTGGATGAGTCTACCGAATGAGTACGATTATTATTTACTTTTTTTAACAAAGCTAACACAGGTGTTATATTTAGCCAGCATTACAGCTGTTAACCTAAAATAAAATCAGAGGAAATCAATATCAAATAAAAACCAGTTGCTGGAACAATATATTGTATTGTTGGTGTTCCAGCTACCTCACTCCAGTCTCCTTTTACCGAATAATTTTGCCCAGCTACTTTATATGTACATATATGAAATATCGAAAAGATAAAATTTTTTGATTTTTAAATCATATTTTTATTTGTCGATTACTCAGCCCTAAGTAAGTGTGTGCAAGCGTCATGTTGGTGCTTGTCTTGTTATGTAAACGTCTCTCACTAATTTTTGCGCTCTCGCGCTCTCTCTCTCTCTCTTTCTCGTTACAGCTCGGCCCAAGATCGGCGCTGCGCTGCATTACTCTGCATTTCGTATTTGACAGTTGACAACGAGAGACGCTCGGGCGCGCACAGCAGTTAACTTAGACCCGACGGCGACGCGTCGCTGCCGTCGTTCGTCGTTGTCGTCGCTTTCGAGTTTCCCTTTTTTTTCGTTCCCGGGTGTAATTGCGATTATGAGCGAGACCTTCAAATTGTCCGAAATGCAACGCACTAATATCGAGTTTGAACGTCAGCGTCATTTGGCCAATTGGCTGGTGAAGAGCAGTCCACACATGGCAGCAGCAGCAGCGGCAGGAGTATCCACACCCCCATCGGGGGCTGCGGCAAACACATCAAACACTGGATCAACAGGAGGAGTTGGGGCAGCGGCAGGAGGTGCTGCGCAAGGCGGCGCGCCCAGCAACAGCGTCGCAGCTGCAACAGCAGTAGCAGCTGCATGTAACGGTAAGAAGGATTTCAAAAGGGGGAAACGGAGATAAACGTTCGTAGGGGGTACGGACCGCAAGGCACGCGCTCCAAACAGCGAGAGAGACAGCGACAGAGAGATAAAGAGAGAGACCAACGTGTGTGAGAGCGAATAATTGTGGAAGGGAGAGAGTCCGTTTTTTGTTTGCTCATTGACGTCGCCATATATACTCTTTGAAGAAGTACCACCGTTTTGGTCAGACTCTTGTAACGAATGGAAATTTAACTTCCTAATGGGAAAACCCAAACTTAAGCTTACATTTTCTATAACTAATTTGGAACAACATTCCATTGTAGGCAATTCCTAGAATGATACTCATAAAAATGTGTTAATATCGGATGGCTGTTATGGTGAAAACAATGTTTGTTTGTGGCGCCTTCTAGGAATTCACGGGAACTTGAGCTATTCTACGCGAATTGTTGAGAATCAGATGTACGAACACATTTTTGTGGCTTCACATAGTATCAACTGGAAGGAAATATGATTACTTCAAGCTATCATTTGGACATTTATATACGCTATCAGACGCTTTACCATAGACCACATCAAGTTTACATATTTCCGATCCCCATTGTTTCTATGGAAATTCTCAGTTTGGAAACCATCGTGATGGCTGGACCTGAAAGAGTATGAAAAGCTTCGGGATTCGCTTCCCTCATTTTGTTTGCTATTTTTGTTGTTGTTGCTTCCACTGTGAATTTTGTTGCCTAGGCGCGCGAGTCGCTTCGCGTAATTTCACACGAAACGTGACGATGACACACACCCCCCTCGCTATCACTCTGCCCGTTCTGCCACTGACACTCTCTCTCTCTTTGTCTCTCTCTCTCTCTCTCTCTCTCTCTCTAGCCGCAATTGCAATTGATATTTCACAAAAGATAAGCGTAATTTCACAAAACGTTTAGCTCCTTTGCTGTTATGCTGTGATTTCTGCCTCCGCATGCACTTACGTATGTACATATACGTAGCTACATATGCACATGTATGTACTCACGTATGCCTGTGTTTATTAAATCCGAATAAGTGTGCGTGCGTGTGGATGTGGGCAAAAAATTAAGCCAAATGTGCGCAATTAGAGTGAGTAATGCGCCGCCGCCGACCGCCAATCGGGGAAAGGCTGAGGGGGGAGACAGTACAAACCCGCACCATGGGCAGCAATCAAACAATGAGCAATCAAAAGTCGCGATATCTCTTTTTTAATTGCACCGTTTGAAGTTCAATGAAAACAGTGGCAGACAATTGCTTTTTGGATGTCGATCCGATAGCCCATAACCGTTGCCATTGGGACGGGCGGGTGTGCGCGTATCTGGTATCTAGTCGGGATCCAGAAATAGTTAACTGTTTGTTTGGCCGTTAATCGCCTCAAGTGTTTTTTGACTCTATTATTATTGCTTCAATGGATTGAGCAGCGATATCCGATCCGATCTTAAGTACATTCAATGCCATTTGACCTAGAGTCATAGACCTTATGGTTTTTTGAGGGTTCTTCCTGAATATTAACACCCGGGAGCGCTCAAAAAACATACGATATATTTAGTCCGAAGAGCGGAAGAGATTATACAAAACATTTGAGAATAAACTGAACTAAATCTGTTGCTCTTTTATGCATTGTGCTCCAATATTTGATGCTGGACATTTTCCATTTCTCAGATATCCTCATCTTATCTGATGTACTGTCTCACAGATTTGTCACGTTTCAATATTTCAAGCGTCAACTTTTAAAGAATGATGTATTATTATTCAGCAGGAATATAGGTAGCCTTTTTTTGAGCTTTAACTAAAGCTATGATATAGGAGTACATCACTATGTGATGTATGAAATATTTGTATGTTTTGCTGTGCCACACAAAGATATCATTAAATGGTTTTCAAGTGAATGATATTTAAAGTTAGTTAATTATTCTAATTGTTTTGATCCTCCAAGTGGGTATACAAATGATATATATGATATATGTTATTGTACATATTTAAAAATGGTACCATTTAAAAAGATTTATTCAAATATAAATACTAATTACCTCCACACACCCACGTGATGGACATGAGAGCACTTTCCACATTTTTTTTTTGAAGAGATTTTTCCGCATTGTTTTCTTTTGGTCACGCTTTATGCCGATTTTCGCCCACTGTGTGTCATCGTCTCGTTGACCGTTGACTGAAAATTAGCTGCGCTTAGCAACAGTTTTGAACCACTCGCCAGTCCGTTGCGTCACGGCAAATGAAATTCGCGTTCAATGCGGCTGTGACTGTGACTGTGCATGTGACTGCGACCGCGACTGCGCCTGTGGTCTTAGGGATGCACGAACACTCGTGTATCTATATTTCAGAAGTAGAAATAAATGTAGATGCATTCTGTGGACTGTAGTGTTGGTTTTCCCACTGCCGATTGCTGTGGCAATTATATTTTTACGCGATTACCTCACAAATGCTCACCCGCCGCCCTCAACTCTGGGCTTTTGTGTTGCAGGTGGAGCCCCAGCGGGCGCCCATCCCGGCCACATGGCTGCGGGGGCGCGCAAGCCCAAGCTGCGGCGCTTCAACTCCCACGACACCAGCTCCAACATGTTCTCGGTGGCGGAATTCGAGAACGCCCGACTGGCGCGCCGCAACGAGATCGAGCTGAACCAGCGGCTGGCCCGACGCCTGCGCAACAACGCCAACGGCATCTACGGCCTTGGCGCTGGCTCCGCTGCAGGCAACGGCGGTGTCGGTTACTCTGGCTTTTGTGGCGGTCTAAACGGCAGCGGCGACTACTCCACCGGCGACAGCAAGGCTTCCAAGGGGAGTAGCGAGGTGAGTGGCCATTTCTCCATAGTTCTTGCCCATCCTAAATGGTTCGTCTTTACAGTCACAGCAGGAGCCGCTGCCCGCCGACATATTCCTCGAGCGGTACTCGCTGCCTCGTGTCGTCCGCATCCTGCATACGAGCAAGAGCTCCAACGAGACCCTGCAGTCCAGCTCTTCGCACGGCTCGTCCACGGCGGCCTCCAGTAGCTCTTCGACGGGACCGAAGCCAGCCAGTGGCGGTCCAACGACCACTAACAATACCGACACGGGCACTGGCACCAATTCATCCTCCAGCGCTGGGAGCGGCAACAACAACAGCAACAACAGGCCATGCAGCAATGGGCACGATGAGCTCTTCCTGCTCTACAGGCTGGTGCGACAGCGGAATATCTATCATGGACACAATGCCAAGTCTCAGGCGTCGCAGCGCAAGAAAACTGTGCTAATACCACAAGAGTTTCCAGGTGCGTTTCCGGGAACTTGGAGAGCGATCTCAGTTGATTTGAATCCCATTTGCATACTCGTAATCATAAGATACTTGTATTTAGTCGAATGGAAGTATGTTCTCATGACGAATGCATATTTTGAGGCGCGTACTTGGGGCTGATTACGATGGTCCAGAATCAGTTAGTTAGGCAGCCACTCCTTGCTTTCGGGGGGCCCTCTACCATATGAGTAAATATATGCCTTTGTGCTGAATTCGTTGTTTGCGTGCAACAGTCACAGTTCAACAATGAAAAGTAATCGCAACTATTGCTCATCATCACCCCACCATTATGCAATGGTGGTGTGGAGTGGGAGGGGGGCAATGGTGTGCTCTATGCGGGGGGTGCCAGTGCCAGCCAGTGGCAGTCAGTCAGTCAGTCAGTCAGTCAGTCAGTAGTGACTTCTTCTGGTGTGCCCCCATCCGCCATTGCGGTCGGTCATCCATTGTTTCAACTCAACGCGTAACGCCATGTGACTTTTCACAGCCATTTGGCATTTGTCGAGGCGCAAAGTAAACCAATGTGTGCAAATATTATGCAATCTGCCAATTTATAGACCGGGTCGACTGCAATCGGTGTATTATCATTTTACTCATTCAACTTTCGGTGCAATGTACACAAAAGATACAGAAAATCCAACTGGCTGGCTGGCAAATTAAAGTGATTCAATTTGTGTGTCCATATTGAGTTTTACTCTGTTGATTCAATTGCGATTTATATAAAAAATGAACAAATGGATTCAAATCATCCCCTTAGACCTCCATCAACGACAACGTTTTACACATTCAGATTGTAACTGGCACTCTTTATCTCTTGTCTCAATTAAATATACTAGATATCGAAGCCAATGGCCATAGAAGTAATCACCTTAATCAAGTTGTTAATGCAATAACATGGGTTTACCAATAGCCTGGCTGTCAGCATGGCAATCCCTCGGTGTTTTATTATTAACGCGGGAGTGGCAAGTTGCCAACTGTTGAGATTTGCCAGCTGTTTAGCTGTCCTTCCAAAGTTTTTGATCTTTTCAATCTTTATCTCATTTAAAATTCGAAGCTTTGGGGTACCTTTTGTTTGTGTTGTTGCCTTCAAATGATCTCATTTCCTTGTGGAGGAGTCTAAATAAAAATAACAACAGAATATAGCGACATTTTAGCAGACCATCAATGTGTTATGCACACGTGATGTATGTTGATTTTGCAGATCTCTTTTTTCTTCTGAGGCATTCTTTTGTACCTCTCGAGTCTAGCAACAATTGATCAATGTGACGTGTCATGCACAGGCAATCTTTGTTGTTTTCGCGATTCTTGAGCATTCTCTTTCGCACTTTTCGAGCTTTAACGCCATCAATGGTTTCTGTCTATGTTCCTATTTCTGTGTCCTTTTTTTAATCCAGATATTTTTTTAAATTACCTTTCTTAAATTTCTAACAACGTTTTCTCCTTCTTTTTTCCCCTCTCTCCGGAACGGAACAGGCTATTTCTCGCTGCTCAATGAGAAGGGTCTACCGACAGCCACGCAGTACAGCTCGCTGATGCATCTGGTAAGGGAGCGGGTGTACAAGTTCGTTTCGGTGGACAATATGCCAGCGTTTACAGAGTCCTCGCCAGCGGGCAGTGCCAGCAGTCCCACGCACGAGGGCTGTCTGCCCGTCATCAAGGGACGGCCGCAGTACATGAAGACGACGGCACGCGGCGGACAGGTGTTCCGTCTGCTGGCCGTTTTCGAGGATGGCAAGCAGGAGAACGGACACGGCCAGGGACAGGGTAACTTGTCGCAGCACGGCAGTGGGAATGTGGCCAAGTCCCATTCTAGTGGCTATATCGGGCGCGAGAAGGAGAAGAACCGCTACGCCCAGTTGCTGAACGAGAATCGTCAGGTGATGTACGTCCCCCTGGCCACCAAGGGAAAGTTCTACGAGATTGAGCCGGGTATACCGCAGCTGCTGCAGAAGCTGGGCGATGCGCAGCGCAAGCTCAATCCGGATTGTGTGCACCGATTGGGGGCCCTGGTGACGGCGGCCAAACTGTTGCCGGTGACCCTGCGCTACATTTCGGGTCCCGGCGGACCGGAGATACCCGAACAGCTGTGCATCAGTCAGGTTACCAAGGAGGATGTGGCTGTTGGTTGCCCCATCGAGGACGTGGACACGCAGACGCCGCTGCAGCTGAGAAAGTTCTACCCCAGTCGGGACATGCAGCTGCTCAGGAGTTACCTGGGCTTCGATTCCGAGCAGCGAATGCTGGCCAACACCAATGTGCAGAACATGCTGAAGTTCTGCCAGTTCAACTGCGACCAGTTCCTGAGGCTGGTGGAGGTGGAGCTGGTGCAGCGCTCTGAGCGCTCTGGGAGCAAGAGCAGGGAGGGCCTCAGGATCCTGAAGCCGCTACACTTGCCTAGAATTTTGAGGCGAGAGAAGAGCACCATGGCCGCAGCCCACGAGAAGGAGGATTCGATTATATTCCTTAGCAAGACCGATTTGGAAAATCTAGAGGCCAAGGAAGCGGCAGCTGCAGCAGCGACTGCCTCCTTGGCGGACGCCGGAACCAATCGCATTTCGGAACGCATGAAGGTGTTTCAGTCGACCAAGAAGAAGTGGTTCGGTAAGCAGCAGCAACAGCACCATGAGAAGCTGCAACCTGATTCGGAGCTGGATGTGCAGGCCAAGCGGATGAGTATGGAGCGCTATACGGACATGTCGAAGCTGCTGCAGGCGCGATTCGGCTCAGATCAAGACCAGCCAGAGCGGGATGCCATCTCGTTGAACAGTGGCGGAGCCTCCGACACCGAGACTACAACTCTGACCACCATAGAGCCCAAGTCCTTGGACACGCTGCTGCAGAAGTCCATGTCGCTGCAGGACATCGAGCTATTGAATGGCCAGTGCAAGCCTCGTCCCGACCTGCTGGCCACACACAGTCACACAGATGCCATCAGCGAGGCGGGCACCGAACTGGAAGATGTGGAGAATCAGACGCCGCCGCCGCAGTCGTTCATTACCGAAAAGCTCTACAATGAGTTTCACGTGAAGACACGGCAGTACAGCAAGTCCTCGTCGAGTCTCCATCAAATGCGTCACTTCTCGCTGCCCCAGAAGCTGCAGCTCCACGAGGAGGCGGAGCAGGAGGATCGCAGCCTGATGCAACTGAAGGCACACCAGCAGTCCCTGACCAAGCAGCCTGTCACGGGCCGTCGGGCGGCGGGTGGGGTCTGCCTGCTGGGAGGCGGACTGAACAATATACCCTCCCCGGTACCGATCTCACCCTTCTCCCTGGTGGAGGACGATCTGCCCTACTCGAGTGTGCGCGACTCCTTGGTCATGGCCAGCGATGGCTGTCTGCAGCCACAGGTTTCTGTAAGGTCGCCAGCCCCCTTGGACTACACCAAGGAGAACATTTACGCGGAGATCTGTCCCTCGCACACCGTCGACACCTTCTCGGGGGCCACACAGTTTACCCATGTGCAGGAGGACGGCGATGGGGATGGGGATGGGGACTACGCCTCTCTCAAGTATCCGGCCAGTGGACCTCAGTCCGTCAGTCGCATCGAGATCAACGGTGGGGCATCGAAGAGCGCCATCAGCTACCACACAGTGTACTTGGGCGAGGAGCCGCTGGGGGAGAGGCATGCGGCGCATATTACCACCGTTGAGCTGGCCGGGGAGGACAACATATACAATACGCTCAAATGATGACTCATGTGATTCCGGCGACGTAAATTGGCCGGCGCAAAGGGACTGTTTTAAGACACTTGGAGATGCAGATAGAGATGGGGCAAGCCAGTGGAAATACTTCACGTGATCTAATATTAAATGTCTCCTAAAATCATTCATTCATATTCAAATATTGTCACTGTTCGTGGAAAGGAAGAGTCTCATGCTCGAACTGAATCAAAATATCATTGTAAATCAATCTCTTGGATCCCGAAATGTATTTCTAAGTATTGAGACTATTGTAGGGCAACAGACAGAGTAGAGAGACTTCTGGGGGCAGCTCAAACCGATCTGATAATTGAATATACATTCGAATTTGAAATCTTTTTGTAAAATAAGGCTTTGTGTATAAGATCTGCAAAGGTCAGGATTGTATTCTCTGCAAAAGAAATGAATTTATGTTTTAATTTGTATGAAACGTTCTAATTCTTAAACAATTTGTCCATAAAACCACATAAATCTGTATTATAATCATATATTTTTGATCATAGTTTTATCAAAGAATACAAAATACAGTTTACCTAGTATTTCCGTTAATTTCCCTTGTAAAACCTCCAATGGAGACACAAACAATAAGAAAATTGTATGACGCTGTTGCACAAAAGAAGAAATTGAGAAATTTTGAGTATTTCCGTTTAGCTTTGCCAGAGAAAATGCAAAAGTTCTTGTGTATGAATCTTGTGAAGCGAAAATCGAAGCAAATTAGCAATGGAATGGAAAGAAGTACATGGAATATATATTTGTAGCAATTAGCATTAGTTATAAGCATATGGAACAACTTTGTAAATGAGACGTCCCTGTGGGCGACGAAAAACCCCTAGAAATGACAACTCAAATTGTAATATTATTATAAAACCAAGTGAAGACAAGCAATTTGTATTGTACATACGAGTATATACTAGATGTATGGGCGATTCTATTGCCTCGTCCTTGTGTCCCGCCCTCGCCCTCGCCCCCGCCCCAGAACATGACCCTGACCCTGACCGTGACCCTTACCCTGAACCCCAAACAAAGCAAAAACATAATGAAACTGAACATTTGAAAATTGCAATATTATACAATTGTATACATTAATAATATATATAGATATACCTTTATTATATACACACACACATACACATACATTTATACATACATATACTTACATATATAGAAATCTTAGTGCAACCTAAGGTATTATTAGCTCGTAGGCAATCAACAAGTCAAATCAAATCATAAGCGATATACATCTACATACGCGTATACATCTATTGATTGTATATTTGTAAAATAGCAAGAAATTTGTAGGGCATCAGGCCAAACTTTTACACGATCTCTCGTATTATGTCGTTCTTTTTTTGGAAGTGAAGTGAAGTGAAGTTACATTGGAGTGCGGCATGTCCACATCGTACTGTGAAGTGAATATTTTATTATATGTAATGTTTGTACCATATGTCTGCTGGTCCGCTGCGCCCTCAGGATACCTTTCCGAATCGATTTATGTAGGTGTGGTATACTCGTAATAAGTGGACAAAATATCGAGCCATATTTCAATGCAGTCTCAAAGTAGAGTTTAGACATTAAGATCTTGGTATTTCTAGTCTTAATCTGAAAAAAGAAAGAACGAATATGAAATCTGGTCGATTGTCGGACATGTCGAGCTTTCGTTTTTTGTAATGGAAAAATATGGATAACTTCGGTTAGCCGAAGAACTCTTCAATATACATATAATTTTTTTAATTGGGTACTGCATAAATAAATATCTAGCAAGAATTATGAATTTTTAAATATTGATTTTATTTTATTTTTTGTTTGATTTGCACCGAACATTTCCTTTTTGTTTCCCTTCCTTTCAAAATGGCAAACAATCAAGCTAGAACGTAATGAATAAAGAAACTAACGATAATCTAGAGTCTAGAGTAACCAGAGAACCCTGTAAAAAACGGAAGCAATACTCACCAAATAGCTATGATACTAGTTGTAAAACCCTTCTGACAGTGTCGACGGTGCCCAGAAATGGGCCAGCAACAGGATCAGTCAGTGTGTGTGATAGTAGCTAAGTAACGAGAGTACCATTTACATATATCGGTATTCGTATTCTGTACATACATAGGATCGGGGCCGATAACAGCCGTAAGGTATATTACAATATACATAGTAGTATGTACAATACGTAGAATGTACTCAGAGTACTCAGTGGCATTTCATAGTTAGTAGACATGTAAGACAGGCTTCGCTGGAGCGTAAGGGTGATACAATGTTGGAGATCGGGCCTCTTGGGATCGTGGGACCGCCGACAATCTCTCCCTTTCCCTTTAACTGATAATGGTCAGGACAATGATAATGGAGAGTTTGTATTATGATAACTATTAATTAAAGCAACTACCCGCCAGCATATAAATTGGTGTGATAAGAATGTATCTATATCCGTGGGCACTATGTAATGTCAGATACCGAGCGACAGATAAAAATGATTTTGAATGAAGAGCAAGCACGAGAATCAGGGATTTTTAATGGAGGGGCATGGAGGTAAATGCCAGAGAAAGCACTGAAAGATGGGAAATAATACCCACTTCTAATTGTCCCGTGAAAATGCCGCCCGTGTTGGCCTTTTGAGCACATTGATTCAATGAATACAGAAGCAATACAATTTTTCAATATGCTACACACACATACAAAAATGGAGAGAATAATTATTATTAAAACGGGGCGAATTAAAGAAAATAAATTCAGCTAAATAATCATGTTTTTGGTGTCTATGTTAATCCCTAGAATTTCCACAAGCAATTAATCAATTAGATTTCAATGTCAAGCATTAGTAGAGCCCACACAAAAACCAATATAAAAGTATATAAATACTATATCAGATATACATGTATTCATAAATTTCAAAATATAACCTTGTAGCACTTTTAGATTTTCGACAGAAGCAAGAGCCCAACATTTGGTATTCGCGAGACGAGATGATATTTTGGTTGGAACTGATCGCTGATCGATATTTTAGAGGAGCCCTGCTCGGAGCTGGAGCTGGGGGCATGACTGAATTGATAAAATGCGAACTAAATTGATACGAATTGAATTCTAATGAAATGTTTGGTAATGGCCTACACAATCTCAGACACACAACACACACAAAAATACACATATACATATATAGGATATATATATACAAAACTGATATGATATTATTGTTGTAGTAGATCTTTTTCTAACCGCTGACCATTGAAAATAAACGAGAACTAAAACGACAAGTCTCTGCTTCACAGCAGCTTAACCGACCTCAGCAAAGGCAGCTCATTTGCACAGATTATCTATAACTGAGGCCACCCAATCAACTCTAGCATACAAATTTATATTTCACGTTATACCTACTATATATACCTAGATAAAAACAAAGAGAAATAATAATAAACTCACAAGAAACCCTTTGGAAAACAAATTGAAGCCGATACAAGCGAAATAAATTAAAACAATACATTTTGAAGCTAAGGAAGGTTTTTTCTCTGGCGCACTAGTGGGTATTTCCGTTACTATTTTCAAACAATTTTCAGCTAACATTGGGACACTAGCGCTACCTGTTGGTGGTGTCTAACGCGTGTCGTTTTTTTGAATTAATTTTTTTGACATGTAGTATACAATTCTTTGGTGTAGAATTAATGTAAAATGACTGTAGACAAAATAACGGCAAAGATCGAACGGTAATTGTATAGGCTATTTACTCTGACACGAGTTACCTATAGATAGTTGAGTCACCTTAATGGTTTTTTTGGTTGTTTATAGATAAACCAAATTATTATTATTATCCGATCACCTCCTCGTCCTCTCGGGAGGCCCAAGGGATGTTCTCTTGGCTGGACTGTGGCTACCACTGGCTGCTGCAGACATGCTACGGGCCTTAGCCATGATGCCACTTCTGCAGAAGGATCCAGTGATCGACGGTGGAATTGTTGGTTCACGCCCATGGGAAATAATGTCAGCAATGCCCCGTTCATACACCGTCGAATCAAACGCTGGGCTTTAAAATCGAGACGCGTAAGTGAATCAGTATATAATTGTTGACACATCTTAAAATATCTCTTCCTTCACAGAGGACTTATGTACCCTACGCTTTGCCACAAACCGAGTCGTATCCGATTTACCTTCGCCAGATGGAGTCCTATCCAATCATTACCGAGACGTATTCGAGACATGCAGAGGCCTTTCCCAGACCAATCGTATCCGTGCAGGACAGAACTTAAAGACTCTAGAAAGATCTCTTTGTTTTTAGGTTTAAGGATATACGCGTCCATATACTCGGAAAGTATGTTCAAATGTTTTCCACCTGGTTATTTTGTTATACTAAGCTAAGTTATGATGAATAAAACTATTGAAAAGTCATCCTTGCCGTATCCTGTATCGGGGATACTATCCAGATTATAAAAAGGTGAGGCACGCCCAGATCGGTTCACAAATAACGGAGAAAGCTAAATATTTTATATTGGAGAAAATGTCCTTGATCCTTGCTAAGGACTCCATAAAATCAGGGACATTTTTGCGATGACAGGATGCCATTGCACGCCCAGATCGGCCCACAAATAGCCGAGAAAACGAAATATGGATGGAAAGGGTTGTTAGAGTCCTTTCCTAAGGATCAAGGATATTTTTCTAATCACGGGGGCCAATGCACGTCCGGATGGGGCCACAAATAAAGCAGATAACAAGATATGTATGTCTGGAGTAAATATCCTTGATCCTTGGTCCTTGATAAGGACTCCATCGTATCGGGGACATTTTTCCGAACACAGGAAGCCATGGCATGTCCCGATCGGGCCTTAAATAACGGAGAAAACAACATTTATATGTCTGGAGTAAATATCCTTGATCCTTGGTCCTTGATAAGGACTCCATCATATCGGGTATCTTTTTCCGAATACAGGAAGCCATCGCATGTCCTGATCGGGCCTTAAATAACGGAGAAAACCAGATATGTATGTCTGGAGTAAATATCCTTGATCCTTGGTCCTTTATAAGGACTCCATCATATCGGGGACATTTTTCCGAACACAGGAAGACAACGCATGTCGCGATCGGGCCCTAAATAACGGAGAAAACGAGATACGTATGTCTGGAGTTAATATCCTTGATCCTTGGTCCTTGATAAGGACTCCATCATATCGGGGATCTTTTTCCGAACACAGGAAGCCATCGCATGTCCTGATCGGGCCTTAAATAACGGAGAAAACTAGATATGTATGTCTGGAGTAAATATCCTTGATCCTTGGTCCTTGATAAGGACTCCATCATATCGGGGACATTTTTCCGAACACAGGAAGCCATCGCATGTCCTGATCGGGCCTTAAATAACGGAGAAAACCAGATATGTATGTCTGGAGTAAATATCCTTGATCCTTGGTCCTTGATAAGGACTCCATCAAATCGGTGACATTTTTCCGATCACAGGAAGCCATCGCATGTCCCGATCGGGCCTTAAATAACGGAGAAAACAAGATATGTATGTCTGGAGTAAATATCCTTGATCCTTGGTCCTTGATAAGGACTCCATCAAATCGGGGACATTTTTCCGAACACAGGAAGCCGTCGCATGCCCAAATCGGCCCATAAAGAGCGGAGAAAATGAATATTTGTGATCTTGGATGTCCTTGGTCCTTGAAAAGGACTTCGAAAAATCAGGGACATTTTTCCGATTACAGGAAGCCGTCGCACGACCAAATCGGCCCACAAATACCGGAGAAAACGGCCAAAATCTGGCTGGGATACCAGGGGAACAGAAATCAGCAGCAAGCAACTGTAGCAAGTTCAAAAAAAAAAATGTTGCATACTTTGGGGGGAACACAAATTTTTAAAAAATTTCAGTTACCTTCTGCTGACTTCTGTTCGCCTGGTATCCCATCCAGATTTTGGCCATTTGACGAGAGGTTTTTCTCGTTGTACGGTGGCGCCCCTATCGGAGATTTCTTGAACTACATTTTCAAAGCCAATTTTCTTTTCTCCGTTATTTGTAGCCCGATCTGGACATGCGATGGCTTCCTGTGTTCGGAAAAATGTCCCCGATTTTATGGAGTCCTTATCAAGGACCAAGGATCAAGGATATTTACTCCAGACATATAAATGTTGTTTTCTCCGTTATTTGAGGCCCGATCGGGACATGCGATGGCTTCCTGTGTTCGGAAAAGTGTCCCCGATTTGATGGAGTCCTTATCAAGGACCAAGGATCAAGGATATTTACTCCAGACATATAAATGTTGTTTTCTCCGATATTTGAGGCCCGATCGAGACATGCGACGGCTTCCTGTGTTCGGAAAAATGTCCCCGATTTGATGGAGTCCTTATCAAGGACCAAGGATCAAGGATATTTACTCCAGACATATAAATGTTGTTTTCTTCCTTTTTTGTGGCCCGATCAGGACGTGCCTTGGCCCCCGTGATCAGAAAAATATCCTTGATCCTTCGGAAAGGACTTTAACTACCCCCACCATCCATATTTAGTTTTCTCGGCTATTTGTGGGCCGATCTGGGCGTGCGATGGCATCCTGTCATCGCAAAAATGTCCCTGATTTTATGGAGTCCTTAGCAAGGATCAAGGACATTTTCTCCAATATAAAATATTTATCTTTCTCCGCTTTTTGTGAACCGATACAGGATACAGCAAGGATGACTTTTCAATAGTTTTATTCATCATAACTTAGCTTAATATAAATAAATAAACAAGTGGAAAGCATTTGTGTCTACTATCCGAGTATATGGAACGTATATCCTTAAACCTATAAACAACGAGATTTATCTAGATTCTAGTAGTCCGCGTAGCCCCTCCTTTGGTTGCCATAGTCAAAGTCCTTGCTGTTGACGGCCAGGTCGAAGGATGATGATGGCTCGTTAGGTTTAGATCTTGCCAGGAGTGCGCTTCTGTCGTGCTCGGATACCATTGGTCTGGGATAGACCTCTGCCTGTCTCGAATACGTCTCGGTATTGATTGGATAGGTCTCCGTCTGGCGGAGGTAAATCGGATACGACTCGGTTTGTGGCAAAGCGTAGGGTACATAAGTCCTCTGTGAAGGAAGAGATATTTTAAGATGTGTCAACAATTATATACTGATTCACTTACGCGTCTCGATGTTGAAGCCCAGCGTTTGATTCGACGGTGTATGAACGGGGCATTGCTGACATTATTTCCCATGGGCGTGAACCAACAATTCCGCCGTCGATCACTGGTTCCTTCTGCAGCAGTGGCATCATGGCTAAGGCCCGTAGCATGTGCAGCAGCCAGTGGTAGCCACAGTCCAGCCAAGAGAACATCCCTTGGACCTCCCGAGATGACGAGAAGGTGAGCGGACACAGCGTCAAGCGACAGGAATCAGGAGCGGACGAGGGGCGCTCCGCACGGTATCGTGACCCCGTGCGCAGGAGCCAACGCAGAGTTCGCGATGGCAGTCGGTCAGGCGCCTGAAGTGGACAGCCGCCGTCGAGCGTACATCGAGTAAAGCCCCTGGTAAACGATGGTATACATAACGGTGTCCCCGGGCCCGCAAGAGGTATTTCTGGCCACCAAAGGGGGCGACCTGCTGAAATGAAAGGAAGAGTTAAATAAAGAAAATGAATAGCTAATAACTCAATATATTTACCTTGTAAGAGAAGTGGATCGCGGAAAAAGAAAAAAAATAGGAGAAGAAATGCAAATGCCACGCTGCTGTCATTGGAAGATATTGTAAAATTGGTATAAAATCTTCCACTACAACTTACGGTATGATAAGGCCAAAAATGGCACAAAATTTACGTTCTCTAATGATCTTTTCATAGGTACATTAAATCTGAAAGACGATTTAAGCTAACAAAATTAAATAAAGAAAAATTATGTTTTGAAATAAATAAATGTCGGCTATACGCACCTGCACATGGACACATAGTAAAGTTAAAAAAGTAAGGAAATTAAGGATAAACTTCTCAGTCTGAAATGAAGATAAAAAATAAGTTAGACGTCAGAAATTGTATGAATGATCAATGCAGAGTCAAAAAGACGGGAGCATCAACTTTTTTGTGTGTTTTTTCTCCAGTTGGAAATTAGTTCCAAGATGCTTCTTTTCTGAATTTCATTTTATTTCTGCACATATAGAATACATACACACTAATTCATAAATTTTGTTTATAATTTTCTAGGTCTGCTGCTGCTTTGGTTGCTGTACAATACATGCCTCATACACAATATGTTAAACATTGATTCTTTTGTTTTTTAATATTTGGTTTTCCCTTTGTCATTTTATGGCCACATTCGTGTCTATTGTAGTCTGCTTATTTTATAGTTTTTATAGTTTTTATTTCGTACCTTTAGCAGCTGAAAGAGCAAGCAAATATTTCACACTGAATTTCTCAATAGCCACAAATAAAAAAAAAAAAATAAATCAAAATATGAATATACAAATTGTTTCAAAATTTCTTGAAATGGAAAACACTTTTTGGAACAAAAAATGAATGCAGAATTTGTATTCTTTTTAATTGATTGCACCGACTGTGTTTTGATTATTTCCTGCTTTGCTTTATTATGCAGACAGCATTGCCTAATACTTTTTGAACTCTCTGGGTTTCGGTTTGGGTTTTATTGAGTACACATATCCATATGCCTGGCATTGTTGGAACATTTAGCCGCCTCTATCTGCGTTACATACCGTACTTGCATCGTCATTCAAATTTGGGATACATATCTAATTAGTTTTATAGTTTCATAGCTCTATACTCTGTGTTCTTTCTTCCTTGTCATCTGCATGGATCGGGGTGGCTCTGGGTGGCCTCTGACACGACCCCAACTGGCTCAACTCCACTCAGGTTTTTCCTCGAATTATATATTTTATTTCGTATTATTTTTGTTTCGCGTATTGAGTTAACGATATGTTTGGTATACAAACTTTATAATACCCTGGCTAAGTTTGGGGATAGTTTAGAACAGCGTGGGTTGGCCGTTACTTGCTGAGCACTGGGCCGACTTTTGGGTCATGGCATGGGGACACGACGGACATTGGAAAGGAAAAGCTTGTTGCAACAGAAACCAAGTGGGATGGCGAATCATATAAGAAGAAAGCCTCGGGAATTGTGTAGGATTAGACACCGAAAGCTGTTTCTGGTTAAAAAGGAGATACATATTGCATATATGGCCATGTTCTGAATCCGAAGGCTTCCCAAGATCTGTCAGGGATGGTTAGGTTTGATATTGACATTGATTTTGGTAGCAGTCGTAATCCGACGCCTTTTT